TACAGTATCATTCTAGAGGCCCTAGTAGAGCTCAGAGTTCCAGCTTTGATCTCAGACAAATGCTCCAACATAGGATGCCAACTAGGATGCCAACCTAGGAATGTCTTCCCTCTCATTGCATCTGACACAGATCTTTCCACTCCAGCTGCAGTTCTGAGGTCAGAAGACTGACCAACAGTAGGGCTGCTTTCCATGGTGAAGGCTAGAGAGAAGTGATGCTCTCCTGAGGTACAATGGTGCTTCAGCCTCTCCTCCTTGTGATCAGGGACAGAAGATTTAGGATGCAATCCTATGGCCTCCTAATATTGCCTGGGGAGGCACAGGATTTTTTTGGAGCCAGGTCTCCAAAGGCTGAGCCCCTTCCCCATCCTCTTTGCAGTCCCACAGAAAGAACTGTACTGGCATCTCTAAGAACTGCTGGGCCCTCAGGACAAAAAGGGACATGACAAGAGGACAAAAAAGAGAGGAAGCTGAGGCCATTGCATTGGTTTTGAGCAATGCCCGGCCTCTTTCCTTCCCCAACTGTGGTGCTAATTCTAGAGGTCTGAACTCATGGAATGAGGTGCAGCCATGGTGAAGATTGTTGCCATGCATCTCAATACATGCCTTGGATACACATTAAGCCTCTAAGCTTGGAGGTGTACATGCATCAAGGGGGAGCGCATTGGACTGAACCCTTAGTGGGTTAAAATTGGGTAAGTCTTTAGCAGACTGGGAGAAGCATGGAAGTGACCTTTGCTTCCATAGTCTTCTCATCCACAATAGGAGGCCCATAATCCTCCAAGTTCCAGCAGCCAAATTGCATTGCACTGGTACTATACTTTATGTTTTAAGTTTTGTTTTGTGCATTACACAGGAGGCTTTGGCTTTGTGTGATATAGAATTGAATATTATAACATTTAAACATAAAATAATGTCTAAGCCTGGCTCTTATCCTGTGGATTGGCAAAATAACTTTTTACCATTAGCAGAAATAGTGACTGTAACATGTCAGGCTGCAGATAAGTAAGTTTGCATGTTTGATTGCTTCTCTGCTGGAAAAAGAAAAGGAAAAGACAGACTGCCTGCACATGGCCTAGATTTCTTCCTGGCATCATATTCTTCTACGTGCAGGGAGTTTTTCTTCTTATGAGAAAATCGTTCAAATTAATTTACAACCTGAAATGGTGCAATTGATGAAAAATTGTTCTGCTTAATTCTGCTAAGTATGTAAGATTCTAGCAGGAATGACCTAGTGGATAAAGTGGCAGTTACAGGAACTCTTGGATTAAGTGACCATGCCATATTTAAATCCTTGATTCTAAAGGAAGCAAAAGCCAAGTGTAGCCAAAGGTGTACCCTACATTTTATGAAAGTTAATTTTAATAAAGCTGCAACAATGATAAGTAAGGTCCCACAAACAACTCTAATGAGAAAAGGAGTCTACGATAAGTGGGAATTTTTAAAAAAGGAAATTATAAGGGTGCAATTACAAACAACTCCAACAAGAAAAAGACAAGTGAGAAAGCCAATGTGACTTCACAAAAAGCTTAGAGATTACCTGAAAAGAAAAAAAAGGACAAGTATAGGAGGTGGAAGGAAAACCAGACTACAGCTTTCCCATGTTAGAGGCATTCAAGATGCAGCTGGATAGCCTGCTAGGGATGCTTTAACCTGGAGACCTGCATTGAGCTCGGGGCTGGAACTAATGCCCTTCTTGGTCCCATCCAGCTATACTATTCTATGATTTAATGACTGATCTTTATCCTACTACAGAATGACCTTTTGTCTTTAGGACATCAAGGTTACGAACCACCCTAAATTTGTAATACCCGAATTAGCATTTTTAACATAACTTCAGAGGGAAATCTGAAATATGTGCATATGGGAAGCTCTGCATACAGTACCATTACTAGGTGTTAATTTCATTTATTGTATTTCTGTACAGTTTGTTGTCAAAGAACCTTAGGATGTATGGTTCTTTTCTCTGTCTTACATTTTTAACAGCTCCATGAGGTTGAGAGTTTTAACTGCTGTGAGTTCCATGAGCTTCATGGCTGTGTGGAAAGCTGAAACTGGGTCTCCTTAGTCCTAGTCTAATACTTTAATCATTACACTATGTTGGTTCTTACTTTATAAAGTTCTTTAATTTGAATAGCAAGAGCGCTTACCAAATTAGATGTTAATTTCAGACTGAGTGGATGAAATGATGGACTTGGGGATGTATACCTGATATGAATGGCATAGTTAATGTCCTTCCTCTTTACCAGTTTAATAATTTCTGTTGCGTTCTCTGAAGGAAGTCAGACCAGGAACTATAGCATAGTAGAAAGGGAAAGCACATGGGACTTTTGCAGAGATCACTGGCATATTGAACCAGGGAAAGAAAAAGTTCTGCAATTCACATGGGGAATGCTGGAAGTTACAGGGCATTCAGCGTGGAAGGACGCCTTAATAGTGTTCAAAATGTCTGGGCTGGCAGCAGTTTTTTGCCATCTCAGATATGCAGCTGGTCCAGTTATTCAGGAATCAGAATGAGAGCCTAGTGCTAAATTTATAGCACTAGAGAATTCAAAGGGACCTCAGAGGTCATCTAACCCAAACCTCTGATGAGGCAGGAAATCTACTGTCCAGTATCTATCCATGATAGTTGGCAAACCAGTCTCTACTTAAAATGTTAAGAAAAGATAGTTTATCAACTTTCAGACAGGCTGATCTGCTATCAAACAGCTCATACAAGCAGGAAGTTTTTTTGTAATGTTTAGTCAAAATCCCTTTTCCTGTTATTTGAATGCATTGGCTCTGGTCCTCATCTGAAGAAATAGAAAACAAATTTACTGCATCATTTATGTTCCTCAGCAATTGTGTAATTTTATACCAGGAGAGCAGCATACCAGACCTGACACCAGGGTAGAATGAATAGTGGATAGCTGAATGGCAGAAGCACCTGTTCAGCAATGCAAGAGATGCCTTTTAATGTCAGGGAAAGTGAGGGAAGTTGCTGTTTTGAGTGGCATCTCTTTCTACTTCCTTAAGGTCTTTAATGTTAATAAGGAGGTCTGTCTTTGATTACACCCCTCAGGCTAGGGGATCCAAGATAAGAGAATGCGAAGACTCAGAAGAACATATAATTCTGAATCGTACCCTTGGTATCTGTAACTTAGTACCATGCAGTCCTGGGGTCTTTGGCACGGTGCCTATAGGCACCACTATGTTTGCTGATACCTCTCAGGTCCCCGTCTCTTTCAGTGTTTATTTGATTACCCAAGATAGTTTTTTATGGCAGGCTAGCATGCTGTGAAAGTAAAGTCCTGTCCTCCAGTGCAAGGTGACATTGGTTTAAAAGACTGTTTTTATGTCTCACTGGTTTGCTTTCTAGGAAATACGTTGTAACTGGCATTATCATTATTACATTACATTTCTATCTGCCCATAGCTGAAGCTCTCTGGGTGGTTCACATTTTAAGTCACCCATCCAGATTTCAACCGTCCCTGACCCTGCTTAGTTCCAAGATCAGGCCCCTCATTTATAAATTTGGAAGTCTCACTTGCAGTGGCTCCCCAGATGAGACTTACAAAAAAGGACTTTCCAACTGTTTATATCATGGATCCTCAAACTACAGCCCACCATGTCCATTTATCCAGCCCGTCTAAGAGGTTTTGGACTCGCTTGGAGAAAACGATCTCTGAATAGTCCAAAAGCTCTGAGCCAGCGCAGGTGTTCTTTAAAACTGAGCAGAGAGCTGGCACAGGTGCCGAATTGCAACAGCTCAACTGTGCATTCGCTGGCTCCCCCCCACCCCTTGCCTATTGCATTCATATACAGAGCGGGAATACAGAGTGGGAAACAGAAGAGAGGCAGGCGGAAGAGAGAGAGAGAGAGAGAGAGAGAGAGAGAGAAAGAAACTAAAAAAGAATTGAAGCTAAGAAAAATACCTTTTTTAAATCTATTTTTAATTATGCGAGCCTGGGGGCAGCCAGGCTGCACTTTCTGCGGCCTTCTCCGAGGGAGCAAGCTGCAGCAACCTAGCTGAGCCTGGGTCCGCTGCCGCCTCACCAAGCCTGGGGGCGGCCAGGCTGTGCAGCCTTCTGGGCCTGCCGCCACCACCTCCCCAAGCCCGGGGCGGCCAGGCCGCAGTCTTCTCCAAGGGAGCAAGCCACTGCCGCTGCCTTGCCGAGTCCGGAGTGGACAGGCTGAGGTGGAGTGGCTTATTTGGAAAAAGCCTCGGCGGAGAATGCTTACTCAGAGAAAGCCATGGGGCTCCCATGCCTCCGCTGCGGCCTTCTCCAAGCAAGCGAGCAAACATTTTTTAATTTTTAATTTTAAATGCTAATTATTTGTAATTTATTTTTATTATTTTTAATGTGCAGTGTGCATAGGAATTCGTTCATTTTTTTCCCCAAACTAGTCTGGCCCCCCACAGTCTGAGGGACAGTGAACTGGTCCCCTGTTGAAAAAGTTTGAGGACCCCTGGTTTATATAGTAAAACTGGAGATGCAAGAAACTGTCCCTCTAAATCTAGGTCATGATGTGTGCAAAACATGACTTCTGCTTAATGACTTCTGCTTCTGCTGGCTGAAGCACAAAGGCAAGCCAAATTGGCAATTGGTCAGGCAAGGCTTTACCCTCTTTAAGGCTATTACAGCATGTTTGACTGCACTGGAAGGTCCCAGAGACCTCTTTGCCACATGTAAATTTCCTCTGTGATTCAATACCACTTTGGGATAATAGTGGAGGTTCCGGGGAGGCTACATTTTGTGCATTGACAACTATAGAACCCTCTTGTTTCAGACTGGGGTGCTTCCACAGTTGGACACTGGAACAATTCAGGAAAGAAGGAGATGGCATGCTGTAGTATAATGCTACAACATACTTAGGAAGGGATCTTAGGTGACAGTATGTTTGTTGCTATGAGCAACTGTGAAGCTAAAAAGCAGCTTTTCTTGTGAGAGTTTTATTTTGATCTCCGTGGGTGATGAGGTTTGCTCTTTGGAATAGACAAAGATACATTCACTGCCAAATTCTTATTAGCCACTCTGTTTATTAGAACTAACACATAATGAAGGACAGGAATTGATGGGAAATAGAGGTAGGGGAGTGAAAAGAGTTCATAAATAATAGTAATTTTTCCATCAGCTCTAAACTGACTGATTCAGTTGGTTATTCCGTGATGGGCTTCCAAATGATCTTTCACTTTGTCTGTTTGGGCTATACCCTCAGCAGTACTCTGAATAATCCTCCTCCACGTAATTTGCAGGGAACCAGCCAACCTGCAGAAAAAGCACATCAAGCCAAGGAATTACTAGAACCATAATAAACAGTGAAAATGCTCTGAGAGTCAGACTTGAATCTTTGCTTGAGCAAAGATTTCTAGCTGAGATCTCTGGTCTATGCTTCTTAGGCTGTGCTTCCTGCTGCCCTCTAATACTTTGTTTTATCTCCTCGGTTAGAACTGTCTGGGATCTGTCATTGATTCTGCTTGACTCTAGTTCTGGCTCTCCCTTATAGTGGTTGCTGTGTTCAGATTACTCATCTAGTTTCAGGCTCAAGTTGGTTCTGGTTCTGCAGTGCTTATCTTATTCTAGACCCTGGCTTGCAACTGTTTGATTATTTTGTAACTGTTGCCCTACAGTTGCATCCAGCTCAGGTCCCAGCCCTACTCTGACTCAACTTCCATGTCCTTAGCTGCCTGTGTCTCATCATTAACCAGCAGTCTGGGTACAACCTGAATCAAAACTGCAGAGAAATGTTTGTACATGGCAAGTCATTTTTGTGAATGATTCTTTGCATAATTTGGGCAATTTTCACCAAGATGTAGTGAAAAAGATTGCACTGTCTTGCTTATAATGGTTGGGAGGGTTACAGGCAGCCACACTGCACAAGTCTTTTTATAGTTTTAAGCAGTGGTCCCCAACATTTGTCGCATCAAGAACCGGTTTTGTGGAACACAATTTTTCCACAGACTTGGGGGTGGGGGGGAGGGGAGTTCAGAATGAGTCAAGTGCATTATATTTATTATGCACTTTATTTCTATTATTATTGCATTGTAATATATAACGAAATAATTATACATCTCACCGTAATGCAGAATCGGTGGGAGCCGCCCCTCAACCTGCAGTTCCCACGCCACTTGCCACTCGCTCCTCCTCTCAAGGCTCAAGACCCGAAGGGGCCTTGCAGCGGTGGTGCGGGGCCTCAGTTAGGCCTCGCAGCCTGGCGGCAGCTCTCCCCGCCCCCTTGCGCTTTGTCACACGTGCGCCGGGCTAACTCGGCCTCCTTGTGCCTCGCTCGCCCGCCTCCCCGACATGCAGACCAGCCCGTACCTGCTGCCCAGTTCCGTGGCTACTCACACACGCCCTCCCCAGCTTCTCCATGCCACTTGCTGCCTGGCTCTGCTGCCGCCGCAGGCCCCCCCCCCCCCTTTCAACGCCCCAAACCAAAAGGGTCTTAATGATAATCTGTATTTGCAGCCACTCCCCAGCGGTGACGCTGGGAAGCGGCTGCAAATTCAGATGAAGCTTCACGCGCTTGCCCACCGCTCACCTCCTGCTCTGCAGCCTGGTTCCTAACAGGCCACAGACTGATACTGGTTCATGGCCCGGGCTTTGGGGACCTCTGATTTAAACTCTTGATTTGTGAATTGCCCAGGGAGCTTTGGCTATGGGCAACACACAAATGAAATAAACACAATTGAAACAAAATAATACCTAAACTACTTCTGATCCTGCAGATTAGCAGAATACATTTTACCATCAACAGAAATATGTGACATTGCTGGGAAAAAAACGAAAAAGGTCAGATTGCCTCCTGGGCGTCATGTTCTTCTATATGCAGGGAGCTTTTCTTCTTATGGGAGAGAAGCATTTACATTAATTTACAACCTGAAATGGTGGAATTGATGAAAAACTCTATTGTTTAATTATGCTGAGTTCACTGATCCATATGCCACTGCAGAACAGCTTTTCATCTTCAGGACATCAAGGCTGTGAACCAACCTATATTTGTAAAACCTGAGCATCTAACTTCAGAGAACTGTTTTTTATTTTTAATTGTTGTACTTTTCTGCAAATCTGAAATAAGTGTTTGTGGCAAGCTTCAGGCAGAGCACCACTACCAGATACTAACTCCATTTATTACATTTCTGTATTTTCTTTTGTCAAACTCAGGATGCATGGCTTCTTTAATTATTTTTGTGTATTTATTGTATTTATTTGAAAACTGCCTGTTAGCATCTTGCCCATTCTCTGTCTTATATTTACAACACCTTCATGGGGCAGAAAGAAAAACTGATTCAAGAACCATGAGCTTCATGGTTTATTGGAGCTCTGAACCTGGGTCTTCCCCATCTAGCCATAAGTTTTTAACTTCTAGGACGGATATGCATCTTTGGGTGCATATCACTCTAATTTCTATCTAAAATGTAACCACTTTTAACCAGATTTTTAAGGATACAAAAGTATTCACCCGGCCATAGATCTCTCCCTTCCACCATCCTGGTGGTCCCTTCTTGGTCTGAATCTTTATGATGTCTCCTTCTGTGAGGGATAACTCAGTCCGGTCTCGTGCACAGAAACTGTAGCGTGCCTTTGCTGAACGAAAGTACTTCAAGTTTTTCCCTGCCAAGAAAACAATATGGATGTGTTAGCCTTGGACTCCTTCATGGATCACTGCCTTGTCGTGGCGAAGGGGCTTGCGTAGCTCAATGAAGCTATGAACTTTGCTGTGCAGGGCCACCCAAGATGGACAGGTCATAGCAGAGAGCGCTGACAAAAAGTGATCCACTGGAGAAGGAAATGGCAACCCACTCCAGTCTCCCTGCCATGAAAACCCCATGGACAGTACCAAAAGGCAAAAAGATATGACGCCGGAAGATGAGCCCCTCAGGTTGGAAGGTGTCCAATATGCTGCTGGGGAAGAGTGGAGGGCTAGTACTAGTAGCGCCAAAAAGAATGAAGCAACTGGGTCAAAGCCAAAAGGACACTCAGTTGCAGATGTATCTGGTGGTGAAAAGAAAGTCCGATGCTACAAAGATCTATACTCCATAGGAACCTGGAATGTAAGATCCATGAATCAAGGCAAGCTGGATGTGGTCAAACAAAAGATGACAAGACTGAACATCGACATCTTAGGAATCAGTGAACTAAAATGGACAGGAATCAGTGAATTTAATTCAGATGACCATCAGGTATACTACTGCAGGCAAGAATCCCTCAGAAGAAATGGAGTAGCCTTCATAGTCAATAAAAGACTAGGAAAAGCAGTACTGGGATACAATCTCCAAAATGACAGAATGATCTCAGTTCAAATCCAAGGCAAACCATTCAACATCACAATACTCCAAGTCTATGCCCCAACCACTGGTGCTGAAGAGGCTGAAGTTGACCGGTTCTGTGAAGGCCTACAACACCTTCTAGAATTAACACCAAAAAATGATGTCCTTATCATCATGGGGGATTGGAATGCTAAAGTAGGAAGCCAAAAGATAACCAGAATAACAGGCAAGTTTGCCCTTGAAGTACAAAATGAAGCAGGGCACAGGCTGGTAGAATTTTGCCAAGAGAATACAATGGTCATAGCAAACACTCTTTTCCAACAGCCCGAGAGATGACTCTACACATGGACATCACCAGATGGTCAACACAGAAATCAGATTGACTATGAGCTCTGCCGCCAAAGATGGGGAAGCTCTATACAGTCAGTAAAAACTAGACCAGGAGCTGACTGTGGCTCAAATCATGAGCTTCTTGTTGCACTCAGGTATGACCTAAATCATATTCCTGATGAATATACAATAGGGGTGACAAATAGATTTAAAGAATTAGATCTGATAGACAGAGTGCCTGAAGAACTATGGATGGAGGTCCGCAGCATTGTACAAAACATAGCAATTAAAACCATCCCAAAGAAAAAAAATGCAAGAAAGCAAAATGGCTGTCTCAGGAAGCTTTACAAATAGCTGAGGAAAGAAGGGAAGTGAAAGGCAAGGGAGAGAGAAAAAGATACACCCAATTGAATGCAAAATTCCAGAGAATAGCTAGAAGAGATAAGAATGCCTTCTTAAATGAACAAAGCAAATAAATAGAAGAAAAGAATAGAATAGGGAGGGCCAGAGATCTCTTCAAGAAAATTGGAGATATGAAGGGAACATTTCATGCAAAGATGGGCATGAATGGCAGGGACCTAACACAGGCAGAAGAGATTAAGAAGAGGTGGCAAGATTACACAGAAGAACTGCACAAGAAAGAGCTTAATGTCCCTGATAACCATGATGGGGTGGTCACTGACCTCGAGCCAGACATGCTAGAATGTGAAGTCAAATGGGCCTTAGGAAGTCTTGAGCAACAGCAAAGCTAGTGGAGGTGACAGTATTCCAGCTGAGCTATTCAAAATCTTAAAAGACAATGCAGTAAAAGTGCTACACTCAATATTCCAGCAAATTTGGAAAACTCAACAGTGGCCACAGGATTGGAAAAGTTCAGTTTACATTCCAATTCCAAAGAAGGGCAATGCCAAAGAATGTTCAAACTACCTCACCATTGCACTCATTTCACATGCTAGCAAAGTTATGCTCAAAAACCTACAAACTAGGCTCCAGCAGTATGTGGACTGAGAACTACCAGAAGTACAGGCAGGGTTTCGAAGAGGCAGAGGAACTAGAGCTCAAATTGCCAACATACACTAGATCATGGAGAAAGCTAGGGAGTTCCAGAAAAACATCTGCTTCATTGACTATGCTAAAGCCTTTGATTGTGTGGATCACAACTAATTGTGGCAAGTTCTTCAAGAGATGGGAGTACCAGACCATCTTATTTGTCTCTTGAGAAACCTATATGCCTGTCAAGAAGCAACAGTGAGAACTGGACACAGAACCACTGATTGGTTCAAAATTGAGAAAGGAGTTCAGCAAGGCTGCATACTGTCACCCTGCCTATTCAACTTATATGCAGAGCACATCATGAGAAAGAAGGCGGGCCTAGATGAGTCACCAGTTGGAATTAAGATTGGTGGGAGAAATATCAGCAACCTCAGGTATGCAGATGATACTACTCTATTGGCAGAAAATGTAGAGGAACTAAAGTCTCTTGATGCGGGTGAAGGAAGAGAGTGCAAAAGTTGGCTTGAAACTCAACATTAAGAAAACTAAGATGATGGCATCCGGTCCTCCCACTTCCTGGCAAATAGATGGGGAAGAAATGGAGGTAGTGACATATTTTATTTTCCTGGGCTCCCAGATCACCGCAGACAGGAACTGCAGCCAAGAAATTAAAAGACGCTTGCTCCTGGGAGGAAAGCTATGGCAAATCTGGACAGCATACTAAAAAGCAGAGACATCTCCCTGCCAACAAAAGTGCGTACAGTCAAGGCTATGGTTTTCCCAGTTGCAATGTACGGCTGTGAAAGCTGGACCATAAGGAAGGCTTAGCGCCAAAGGATTGAGGCCTTTGAATTGTGGTGCTGGCGGAGACTCCTGCGAGTTCCTTGGACTGCAAGGCGATCAAACCAGTCAGTCCTAGAGGAGATCAACCCTGTGCTACTAGTGCTAGCCCTCTGCTCTTCCCTAGTAGGACATTGGATACCTTCTGACCTGAGGGGCTCATCTTCCGGCATCATATCTTTTTGCCTTTTGGTACTCTCCATGAGGTTTTCATGGCAAGGGTACTGGAGTGGGTTGCCATTTCCTTCTCCAGTGGATCACATTTTGTCAGAGCTCTCAGTTATGACCTGTCCGTTTTGGGTACTCCTGCACCGCATAGCTCATACCTTCATTGAGCTACACAAGCCCCTTCACCATGACAAGGCAGTGATCCATGAAGGGGTCAAAAAAAAAAAAATAGAAAGGACAAAAAGGGAGGTAAAGTTGCACTATATGTAAGACACACATATATTGGCAGGGAAATACAAGAAGAGGAACTTAGTAGCCCCATTGAAAGCATCTGGCTAAATTTAAAGGGAGAAAAAAAACAAGAAAAACATAGTTTTTGGACTATATTACCATAATATATTACCATCCGCCAAGTCAAAAAGGGACAAGGATGCAACCTTCGAAAAGCAACTTGCCAGCATTTCCAAGAAGAATGATGTACTCATTATGGGGGACTTCAATTTCCCTGATATATGCTGGGAGACAAATTCTGCCAAGCATGGCCCCTCCAAGAGATTCCTGACATGTGTTGCAAACAACTTTCTCCAGCAGAAAGTAGGGGAAGGTACAAGAAGATCAGCTATCTTCAATACTAACTAATAGGGATGGCCTGGTGGACAAATTAATAGCCAGGGGAACTCTGGGGGAAAGTGACCGTATGATACTTGAATTCTCAATTACAAAGGAGACAAAGGGTAACTGGTGCTAAACAAGCATCCTGCACTTCAGCAAACTCAGAAAAATGATAAGCGAAGTGCCATGGCAACACCTCTTAAGGGAAAAGGTGTCCAAGAGGGATGGGGAATCTTGAAAAAGAAGATTCTCCAATTACAACTACAAACAATTCCATCAAGTAAAAAGTGTAGAAGACAGCAGAGGAAGCCCACATGGCTCCACAAAAGGTTAAATGACAGCCTGAAAGAAAAAAAAGAACGTGTACAGGAAGTGGAAACAGGGTCAGGCCACAAAAGAAGAATATAAACGAATAGCAAGGAATTGCATCAGGAAGGCTAAAGCAGGAAATGAACTGAGAATAGCAATTGTTGCTAAGCACAACAAGAAAGCCTTCTTCAGATACATCCAGAACAAAAGACATGAGAAAGAGAAGGTTGTCCAGCTACTTAAAGTGGATGGCAGAGTGATGACAGATGATTAAAAAATCCATCTGCAAGCATCTTGAAGAAAATGCAGTGATTAATAGAAGCCAGCATGAATTTATCAAAAATAAATCCTGTCAGAATAATTTAATCTCTCTCTTTCTCTCTCTCTTTTTGACTGGGTAACCTCCCAAATGGACAAAGGGAACACTGTGGACATAATCTACCTAGACTTTAGCAAAGCTTTTGACATAGTGCCACACAACATTCTGATAAGCAAATTAGTAAAAACTGGACTAGATGGAAAAATTATTAGGCGGATCCAAAACTGGCTGCTAAATCAGTCACAAAGAGTGCTCATCAATGGCACCTTCTCAAATTGGATGGAGGTAACTAATGGGGTGCCACAGGGTTCAAGTCCTGGGCCCAGTGCTCTTCAACATCTTTGTTAATGATTTAGATGAGGAAGTGCAAGGAAAGATAATCAAATTCGCAGATGATACCAAACTGGATGGAATAGCAAACACCCTAGAAGACGGAATGAAGATCCAGGGCGATCTTGATAAACTTGAACACTGGGCTGAAAGCAACGGAATGAGATTCAATAAGGACAAGTGCCACCTAGGAAAAAGAGACCAAATGCTTTGATACAAGACGGGGAATATGTGGCTCAACATAACTGGCGATGCAGCTGCTAAAAGGGCAAATGCTATTTTGGGATGCATTAACAGAAGTATTACTTCCAAATCACAAGAAGTCATAATTCCTCTATACTCCTCACTAGTCAGACCTCACCTGGAATACTGTGTCCAGTTCTGGGCACCAAGATTTAAGAAAGATGCAGGTAAATTAGAAGGGGTCCAGTGGAGGGTGACAAAAATGATCCAGGGTTTGGAAACACTGCACTATGAGGAGAGACTGAGAGAACTGGGCATGTTCAGCCTTGAGAAGAGAAGACTGAGGGGGGATATGATATCCCTCTGAAAGTACCTCAAAGGCTGTCACAAAGAGGAAGGTCAAGATCTCTTGCTGATGCCAGAGCGTAGGACATGGCATAATCAGTTCAAGTTGCAACAACCCAGATTTAGGCTAGACATCAGGAAAAACTTCCCCACTGTCAGAGCAATACAACAGTGGAACCAGCTGCCTAGAGAGGCAGTGGGCTTTCCCACACTAGAGACAGTCAAGGTGAAACCCACACTGGAGATATTCAAAAAGAACCTGGATGGCCATCTGAATGGGATGGTGTAATGTGGCATCCTGCAACAGCAGGGGGTTGGACCCAATGGCCTTCATGGCCCCTTCCAACTCTAGTATTGTATGATTCTGTGATACTATACCAGTTGGCTTGGATGCTGTTTTACTCTCAGGTTCTTTGAAAGAAAACTGCAAGGCAGTATCAAGGCTCTTGAAGCAGTCCTTCAGGGAATTCTCTTGGTAAAACTCCACCAGCTCCTAGAGAGAAAAGTTAGAAGACTTTAATTATTTAATTATTTACTTTTTGTACACATATTTATAGGCTGCCTATAACTGCCAAGGCCTTCCTAGGTGGCTTATAATAATTGCAGCAAGCTTGCACAAAAGGTCCACTGGAGAGGAGGGACAGCCTTCAGTGTGATCAGTAAGATGCCCCCAACCCATTCACTGAAGAGAGAAAGTATTGCCAGCCAGCCATTGGGCCACTACACCATGGCCCAATCCCTCTTAAGAGCAATCCCTCTTAACTCCTGCAGTAACCTCAAACTCTAGGTCTCTTTCTAGGACTTCTATCCTGGCCTGTCTGTAACAAAACGGACAGGACATGAACTAAAGTATATGTTACATAGGCCTAAGCTATATCTTACATAGGAGCTGCATGAATTATCTCTCAATAATTTGTTTAACCAAGGATTTTAACAGTGATATTATAACAAAAATATCCCCCAGTACACAACAAACAGAGTCTGTTGTATATTACTGAGTATGAGTTCTCTGCATATTTTAGAACTGTTGTCCCTAGAAAGACCCTCATTGAAGAATTCTTAATTTTCATTATAGCTCCAAACTGAATGACTAGCCTTTCTAGAGATTATACCATTCTAGAATAAAGACTATGTACTCAGAGAAACTGGTCTCTGGCTGCTGTATTCACCTATGTAATGAAGGGAAGTCAATTTAGTTTTAGACCCAAACAGTTTGTTTTGACCCAAATAGTTTTGTTTTGTTGTTAAAGGAAAGCAGGTATCAGTCTGAGTGGAAGAAGAGGAAAGGATGCTTAATTAATTTCCTTCTAGTCATTTGTCTGTTCAAATTTGCCCTCCCAGAACCAGTTTTCACCTGATTAGGAATAAACAGGAGTCTCTTGTGTCTTCCCTTCCCCTTGGCTGGAAAACAGATTCATGTGAAGGTGATAGTGGGCATGTTCTCACATCACACTAGCCCACCCTGGCAATAAGCTGCAGTGGGTTGGTTGTCATGTGAGCGGCCTGTGGTGTGTCTGACAATCAGGTTCACTCTGGAAATGTTGGCCTCCTCCCTTCAGTTCTCACACAGGTATCCCAGAGGACACCGCATGAAGAACACATCATTTACTCCCTGCATTTTAGTCTTGCTGTAGCATTTTTCACTTTATTATTTATTTCTTGGAGATCAAAAAGCCAACTGTAAAGCCAACTTCTCAAGTCCTATTTTGACAGCTATGGGCAGTCACTTCAAAGTGCTCCAGCAGCAAGTTGGAGGTGCTGCTGGCATGTGCCCGCCCCACTCACACATACAGAGCCATGTAATCTTCATAAATATTTGTGAAAATAATTGTTCTTAATTTTTAACTTGCACTTGTGCAACTACAAACAACTATGTCACAATTTAGCTGTCAAGTTAAAGTTCTAGTTTTAAAGTGAGATTTACAAAGGGTTAAAATATCTCTGCAGGCAAGTATATTGGTATACAGCCTCTATATTTGCAAAAATTATGTGGAAGAAAAATAAATTTGAAAATGTTTGGCAATCATGGGCAGGCTCTCCAAAGTACTGCTGGGCACTCTGAAGTGACTGCCCATGGCTGTTAAAATGGGGATCATGACATTTCACAATTTAATGATATCTGGGGCAAAAAGAGGGAAAGTCATGGGGAGCCAGAAAAGAGTAACAGTGGCCCCCAAGTGTCACTTAGGCACTTCAGGGAGCTGGCACCAGAAGTCAGCCAAATCCACTTGGCAAGAGTGGTAAAAAAAAATTGCCACTCTTGCTGTTGCCAAGTTTTTCCGTAGCTGATTCCCTGCAGCAATGATGGGGTTTGTTACTCAGATTCAACCCATCATGGGTACAAGAAATCCTACAACAGCTCATGGGTTGGTGTGGTGGCTCATTGCCCACAAACAAGCAACTCTGGGTAAATTGGTTCAGGTCAGGACCACACACAACCCATAATGGGTTGCTATGTCATTTGAACTGCATCAGGTGGACAAAGGAAAAAGCATCTCTTCTGCTTCTTATCACACATTTGGTGGTAGCTTTCAATGTGAAAAGCAAACTAGCCCAAACTTGAGATTGTTCATGCATTTCTGATTTGTAACTAAACTTGCCAAAGTTCTTACTTCTTTCTAACTTGGAATGAAAAGAAAGGTATTGTAACTCATCTTCTCCCTCCAACTTTTTCATGTTTTTCTCTTCTCAGTTTCTTCCCCCAACCCCCACTTCTCTCCTGAGGCGTAACAACCACTGTGGTGAAGATAGGACGGCAAACTGATTATAGGACGGCAAACTGATTCTTACTACAGGTCCTTTGAAGGCTGTCTTCTCTGTGATGCGATACAGCCCATCCTTGGTCTGAATTTTGATGTGCTTGACCTCAGTATTGAACCTAGGGGTCAGAAATCCACACAGCATTTGGTGTCCTGTTCCTCATTTTTGTACAGGAAAGTTAATGGTTGGCATTAACCTACCACCTCATTTGAAACACTTGCAGATCTAATTAAGAAGCATTAGGACAGGTATGACATGCATCTCATTCAAAATGGAAAGGAGTAGAAAAAAATGGGCTTTTCTACACAAGGCATTCACTGAGCTGTTACTCGCTGTATCTGCTCTTGGTTTCATTGCAATACTAAGATCTTCCTTCCTGCTTTCCTGAAACACAGCCTCCAGGTGGAGCTGTGCTATAGCACAATACAGAAGGAGATGGAGGGTCACTTTCCTGTTGCAATGAATAACTCACTTAAAAAAGGAGCGAAATGCTCTGAAAAAAACAGAAGCAGAAATGAAGGATCTCATCAACATCTAAGGAATTGTGAGAGCATAGCAAAGGCACACTGATGTTTGAAATAGGGAAATATATGCTTACTATTGCATGGCTGCCTGCAACACCCTTCTTTAATGAGAGACTGGTACTGCCAACTCCTCAGTTCAGGAAAAGCTCCAATTTGGTGCTAGGAGTTGCTTCAGCAGGAATCCATACTGAGAGTTTCTACAGGCATTGCTGGCTCCATCACATCTAGGCCCTGATCTGGGGAAGTGCTTGCATGAACTGCCCTCTTCTCCTGAGTGGACTAACATGTTGCTGGTGGGGCCATCCTTCATCAGCAACCCTGAAACTTGTCCTCAGCAAGCCATCTCCTTTGCTCCTATTGCCTCTTGGTCCATCTAGTTCAGCTCAGCATGACTGCCTGGATCTCAGTGAGAAAAATCCCTTCAAACTCTAGGTAGCAGGAACTGAAACAGGGATGGTGGCAGCACTGGAGAATGGGGTGGGGGGCTTTTACATGCAAAACATGCACTCTACCAAACTACAGAGCTCTGCAAAGAAGAGGTATGCATGTACTTCCAAAGAAACCTGAGCCAAATTATTCTAACAGAGTGCAGATTGTGTAAAAGTCATTCCTTTCTATCCATATCAACTATGCCAGCTTCAAAGGCTTCTTTCTGGCATTTCAAATTCAGTATACCAGTGGTAGGCAACCCACCAGATGTTTTGGATTACAACTCCCAGGACCCTATGTCAGAAAGGGCAATGGTTAGGGATAATGAACATTATAGTCCAACATACTCCAGGTTGCACACACCTACATTATATCACACACATTTTCTGCATAGAAAAGAATTTTGACATGAATTAGGGTTACTTAATGCTGATGGCAAACTCGCTTGCATCCTTGATTCTCTGCCGCACCAGGTAAGTCCCATCTGAACGACTGGCAAGGATTTGTTCTGCTTCTGTCCTTTCTATAGATCCCGCATACCTGTGCAAAGAGGGCTGCTGTTAAATGCAGTACATGATTCAGTCACTGGGGGTCTCTGTACTCCACTGAGTTAACTACTACCACAAGAAAAGAGACCAAAATTTATAAGCAAGCTCAGTGAGGGCACTGGGCTTTCAGTGTAACTACTGCTGTTCTCATGAAGCCCCTGAATTAATGCCTGCTCTATCAAAACATGAAAATGGGGGGGGGGAGCAAGGAAGACCAGGACTATGCAGCATCCTCTCCCCATTGCCATGCTTTCAGTTTGGTGCTGTAGGACTACATGTGTTGTAAACTGTCCTGAGATGCCTGTGATGGGATGGTATAGAAAAGTTTTCAATCTATCACTCAATGGTCATGTGGAAAGAATGCATTTAAATAACAGTTATGTTGGAGCATAAGAAAGTTGTGCAACAGGCATTCTACGCAGGTTATGCGGTCACCCATTTGATCTGCCAGTAGTATGGAGGAATAGGTGGACAGCAAGGTTTGAGTGCACTTGGGATAAATCTGTGTTGCATGATATATAGCTTTGGAAAGTCAGAGGCAGAGGCTTCATACAAGACAGAACAGAATAAAAAGCATTTTCATTACTTACCAGTGGTAAACTGATAGATCTGGGGGAGGAGTCTGGGGGAGGAAAAGGCAGAATAATTTTTTTCTTTTGAATTGTTTTCCCTTCAGGGAAGAGTGTGCATGTGTGTTAAGCAAAAAGAAAGAAAGAAAGAAAACTGTAGGGGGTAAGGCCTTGCATCATTTACTTTGGCAGCAAAAACTGACAAGTTAAGAAAGGAATCCATCCAAAGGATGATGTCAGCTATACTGTACAGAAGTATACTGCTTAAATTTGAACACATCATATTTTTCCAAGCCTCCTCCTCTGTGGCATAAACTAGCTGGGCTTTCTTCTAATTCAGCAAATGTAAAACATAGCACTCAGCTGCAAGGTTCTTTCTTTGAGATCCAAGTGAGAAAGCTTTACTTCTTCTTCATCCTTGAAAACTACTACCAGGCACAGTGCCTGTCAAGGCAATGCCTAGGACAGGTGTCTTGGAACCAATTTCTGCCCTGTGGAAGCCAATGAGGACAACTTCCACTACCCTCATGGTCAAAATCATGACTAAATTGTTGGTGGCACAGCAGCGGCAAACCCCTTCCCTCCACATTTCTGCTTTAAAACAAGGCACATGGTGAGCATGCATGTCATTGGAAGGCCCATAAAAAAGGTGTGTGACTTTCAGCTCTTTGGGGGACATCAAAACAGCCCAGGGAGAAGTATGCGGCTTGCAGGCCACATACTGCCCTCCACTGGGCTAGGAGTTAACCAGTTCTCATCTGACCCAAGAAAAGCTCTGGTGGATCAGACCAGGAGTCCCTCTAGTCAGCTGCCCACAGGATCACACAAGCAGGACCCTCTGACCCACATTCCCAAACAACACACCAAGCCTTCTGTTCTCTCCATAAAGCATACCCAGCTGATTTTAGGGGCACTTTGTCTATTCAAAAGAAATCAACCCCCCACCCAGTACTCTTGCCACTGCAGCAGAGAATTGTTACTCACAGAGATGTACGGCTTCACTTTCTTGCAAGGAAACCAGCCAACCTCATTGCTGGACATGTTCCTTCCCTGCAACCCGAGGGAGAAAGTAAAGCCACATCAGATTCCATTCAATGTAACTTAGCAGCTCACTTCTGGAAGGGAGATACGACTCTATGCTTCAAGAAGTGCTTAGCTGTGCTTCTATATCCATGTATCACATATTGTTGATGCCATTAGGAGATTCCCTCCTGATCAAGTAGCAGCTGCAAGGGAGAGAACAATCTGGACTACAGCTATGGCAGAGTCAAAGGATTAAGGCCCGCACCCCTGCCAATCTTCTATGTTCTCTCCCAGTTGTTTTAAGGGCTGCTATATGCTTCTCCTTAAAAAGAAAAAAACAAAAAGAAGCATTCATATGATTAGTAATTCCATGACTAATATATTTCAATATTAATCTGTTTTGATGCTCCAAAACTTATTTACCAGGACCTCTGCATGTACAATACACAAAAGTCAGATTGATTTCCATTAGAATCTTTCTTTTTTTTAAAGAGACAAAAAAACTTTAGGTGATGCAGGAGAAATGTCAGTAGATAACTATGCTGGAACAAGTGCTTTGGAACAAGTGCTTTGGAGGTGCCTTTGGAAATTCTGCTAAGTTTCATGCACTCTACAGCACAGCTCACAAATCACTGCTGCCAAAGAAATAGTCTTTGGATAAAAGTGTGCCATGAGTGGATGCAAGATCCCGTCCTTGAACCTTCGCAGCATAAAAATTCAAATTTAGCACATTTAAGAGGCAGCCCAACTTTGAACTAGCTGACTTCTAGCTCATGAAAAGAGAAGTTTACCAGGAATGCTAAATAGTCAAAGGACCCTAATCTTGAGGGCATGCCGGATGTGCCAGAGATGTTTCTCTTGGGGACTGTGGGGCATCTCAGAGGCTGGCGTGCTGACGGCCATGGGTACTTCCCTCTCTGCTGCTGTCTCCTGGGACAGGCCTGCATCAGCCCCCTCTCCCCCCAGTGTGCAAGCAGGGGGCACTGAACTCCCAGTCACTGCTCTCCTATCTGGGCAGAGAGAAAGTGCCACAGGGAGCACAGCGTGACAGAAGGGGGAAAGTTCAGCATCCTCCCCCTACCTAAATACCCCTTTGGCCCACCCAGCTGCCAAAGACTTTCATTCAAAGATGTAGTTCTGCCATCTTGATGTGTTGATTTGGCCTTAAATATCCTAATGGTAAGTCTGTTTGGGTATAAGATTAAAAGCAGGGCTCCTGTTTTAATGGAGGGGGCAGGAGTAAGTATGTCTCAGTACTACACTCTGCGAGGCCTTAATTTACACACATTGCTCCAACTGAAAATTCATGGGGAACACGTGCACATGGCCCATGATTCACCTTCCTGATTCATCCATCACCCTGGCCTGGGACCACTACCGGGCTGAAGGGCTGCATTCGTCTAGAGGGTGGGATACCACCTACCTGCCACCACAGTTGTTCTGCCTCAGCTTTGTTGACTTCCACAATATCCCCCACATTGAGCTTCAGTGATGGTCCAAATGCCACAGGTGGGGGAGGCACACCATAGTACTCCTGGTGGACTTCCAACTTAGGCAGCCCTGAAAAGTCAAGAAGAGTTGCAGTGTTTGAGAGAACTAGTTCCTAGCTGTTCCTACACTTACCACATAATGAAGCCTTTCCAAATAATTAGGAAGAACAAGTTGACAGTGAAAAAGATACCCTTACGGGGCCTTGGTTGTGTTGTGGCAGTGGCTTGCCATGCATAAAGACAGAAGCACCAAGTTCTTCAGATGCCCTGCTGCTGGCTCGAGGAAGCTTTTGTGAGCCTTCGGCAATTGCAGTTATTCTTTCTGGGGACTGGTGTTGTGACTGAAGGCAGGGACAAGAAGCTTGGCTTGAGCCAGTGCTTCAGCATTCAGCAGTGACAAGGACTGAGACAGCAAAGCAAGCGGAGAGACCACCACCAGGGTGAACTGCAGGGGAGATGCCACAGCCAAAGTCTTTCATGAGTGGAAAGACTTGTCATGATTGGAGCTGGCAGTCAGATTAGGTGGCACAGGAGACCCCTTCTGACTTGCTCAGTTTCTATGTTTCTGCCCTCACAGTGGTGGCCATGACAAAGGCCAAGCCACAGCGGTGAGGTGAGGGAGGTTCTGCTGGAGCAAGTCACTGCAGAATCCTGTACTCTAGCTGGCAGGTCTAGGAAGAACTCATAGTCTTTCCTTGCTCTACGTTTACGCATTTTCCACTAAGCATTTCCAGCCACTCTGCATCCCCTACCCATGGTACTGGGATGCCACCTATCGTCATCAGTGTCATGCTAGAAACATAACCTATGACTCACCCAGATCAGTTTTCCCCCCCTCCGACGTATGCTGATTGGATTTATTCTGCACAAAAAACATACAACATTTGATTCAGGCAAAAGGAATGGGGTGAGAGGCAACAGGCTATAGAAAATGAGTCATAATTCCAAACATGCTTCTGTGTGTCTTATTAATTCCATGTATTGTAGGCATCTTAAGATAAAATTCAGCAGCTGCAACAGTGTATGAGACCTTTCCCTCCCCAGTCCCACCTGTTTCAACTGTGTTGCTGTGGAGTCACAGACATCCACAAGGATTCTAAGGGGAATGATTCAGCCCATGGTATGTTGACAAACTTCCCTCTCAGAAGCTGAAGTGAAAGAACAATTTTTACACACGCAGTGAGAGAGAGAGAGAGAGAGAGAGAGAGAGAGAGAGAGAGAGAGAATGAGAGAGAGAGATTTATAGACGATCGATGGACAGGAGGAGCTACACACTGTTGAGAAGCTTAATGGGAAGCAGAACACTGAAGAGGCAGGGATAGAGTAGGACCAAGGCTATTGAATAGCAAGTGGGCATGTGAGCAACAAATAGCTGGAGCATCAAAGAGATTTGCAGTGAAAGCAAGTAAAAATGGCAGGGAGCTAAAGGAATAGAAAGGGGACAGGGAGAGTGGAGGAGACATTTTAGGTAGCCTGTGGGCAAGTTAGTCAAAAGATCAAGGAGACCAGCATATGCATGGGCATGTGTGTGCTTGAAATATACAAGCTGAACTGAATTGAACAATTGGACCAAATCATTAGCAGATGTTTCTAGCTGAGGAATGAATGGACAGGAACAGAAAAGCCACTACATTTTATAGTACATATCCACAAACCTGCCCCCACATCCATAGGTATCCCAAATTTTACTCTAAAACCAAGTTCTTTGCATTGGTTTCAAGTTATTATTTGCTTGGCACAATTGCACTTAATTTAATTTAGTATCTTTCACCCATACAGTGTAGACATCTTATTAAAAAACTGAATTCTTCCTTTTGTATATACTTGAACTGCACTTTGGGCAAAAGCACATGTTACAAGGCAAGCACATGATCCCTAACTTCATGCTCATTTCTTAATGCTAAAGTGCAGGAAAGAGCAGGTACAAGTTCTCCCCTACAAAATTGTCCCTCTGTCCACCCCTCCCCCCCGACCTGCTCACCACACACACATTTTGCCTCACTTCTTCCTGAAACTGAAAAGATGCATGATTGTCTCTCTGTGTGTAAGTGGGTGTTGCAGGGCAGTGTGAGGAAGCTTGGACAGAAGAGAAGAGAGGAAGGGAAAAGTGTTAAACTCAATTACTGTTAACCCAAAATCCACATTTAGGAACCATGAGTTTGCTGAGAATAGACTTCTCTACACGAGACATTTAACCTGCCATTTTACTGAGGCTTCTTCTTCCATTTTCTTTACCAATGCATCTATGACATGGGTGCTTCACCGCCCCCCAAATTTGTCTTTCTCCACCTATCATTATATTCCATTATTCAATCACAAGGTGGCTCTATGGTATAGATGCAATACAGCAGACCCAAAAGAATACTGGTTGTTTTCCCTGTATTTGAAATGTAATTGCTGACTTCTGTCCTCTAAAAAAAAGCTGTAAAAATTTCTGGAAAATGTGACAGAAAGTTTGGAGGATGATATCTTCATGAAAAGTACCTGCAAACTTCTTTAAGTAAGGGATCACAAGCACATAATAGATGGTCTGCATAAAGAAGCCCAAGGTGTCTTTTTTGTGCACTGCTTAGTTCAAACCCACCCTTTATGCTCACAACATAAATTTACACTTTCTTCTTTTTTTACCTTTTTCACAGTGGATCCAAACTCTGCATTAAACAGAAAATAAAAGGCACAGATAAAAAGAGGATGTAGTGGTTAAAATGAAGTGAATTTAGTTAAATTGCCACTGGCAGTCCCTTATTATAGAAATGTTCTAATAATAATAATAATAATAATTATTATTATTCCTGAGAAAAAGGCAACCCAGTAACCTGCATGAGACCTCATTAATCCTGCACACCAGAAAGGAAGCAGTGCAGGCCTGAGTCACCTCGGCAAATTGGGCTGCAGGAAGGGGAGCACTTCAGCCACTTTCTGAACCCTAGCATGGAACTAAATTTTCAATTCATATCTCTGAGTTCCACCCGCATTCTTGCCTTTGTAAAGAAGGGACTTCTGGAAGGATTCTTGCTTTATACAGATGTAAGAGAAACTAGAGACCTCCAGTGTTTCTCTTACCATTCATACCATGCTGGGAAATTGGTTGAGATATGCAAAATACTTTAAAGCAGGGATAGCCAATTTGTGGTACTCCAGGTGTTTTGTCCTCATATATTCCTGTCAGCATTCATCATTGGCTAAGCTAGTACTGATGCAACTCATAGGACAAAACAGCTGAGGGCTACAAGTACCCACCCCTACTTTAAAGTCTGATCCTCTTACACAGATATTAAAGGAAGTACAACCTTATCAACACTTATCCTTTTTAATGTAAGTACCACCTGTTAGACAAAGCTCTGTTTGGTGAAGTGGACGCTTAAACCTTTGCCAGTTACTGGAGGAGTTTTCTTAGGCATGACGGAAAACTTTCAGTAATACGATAAGCAAAATGCTTGTCATAGCAGGGCAGAGCTGGGCTTGCTGAATATCATTCAGTGACACTGGGAGAGCGAGATAAAGCCACTGATTCCATTATGTATTTACACTCTAGAAGACTTGTAGTGTGATATCTTAAAGCCACCGTAAGTAAACTTTTCTTTATCTTAGGCAAAAGAGACTGGCCTCTATGATTCCCATATTACAGCCAGGAGAAAGTAAGACTGAAAGTCAGCAGCTTGCCAAAAGCTGCAGAGAGACCAAACTGGATTTTGAATGCCCTGCCTGCTGGTCCAACCTCATATATCCCTCCAAATACTTCCTGGAATGCCAGAACATTCAGCTGTAGCCTTAGCTTGTTCTGAGGAGGATCTGGCTAAAGAAGGCTGAACATAGCAGTATGCCCCAAACACTAGAAACTTACCTGAGCTGGACCTTCCGCATGGTAACACTCGGCCCAGGCATTCCTTGTGAGCAGGTGATCGGCATCTGCTGCAGCGGTAGCCCTGGTAGAAGGTCCCTCTGTGGGCCCACAGCAGAAAGAAAGAGAGGAAGAAGATCATATCTTTGGCTCCACAGAATAATTTCAAGGGTTTCCTAAGAGCTTTCTGCTGCTTTTGTGAGCTGCTTTATATGAGCCTTTCAATCCACCACTTTACTCATGCAGATTCTTTGTGGGCTTAAGATCAGTTCCTTTATATCAGCTTTTCTCAGGGTTAGAGTTTGGGTTATATTCCATTTTACAGCCATTTAAGATAGTACTATAGTAAAATGGGATTGTGGAAACAGAAGTGCAGTGAGATAATACTTATGGGTCCCCAGCCTAAAAGAAAGCACAGAAATGCATGGCAAGCATGGGAGGCCCTGGAGGTTGATGACATCAAGTAAAGCACCCAGAAACTACCTTGAATGAAGAATCACAAACACACAATGCAGAGAAGCTCTAAAGCACAGTTGATAGAATTGCAATCTAATCATACTTACCACCATCTGAAACTCTATGTATGTTCCATAGTGAGAAAACATTCTCTACGTTACCATCTTTTCTGAGGCATAACCATGCCTACAGGTGAGATCATAGGGACACTGGCAACTGGATGTTATCTTTCCCCATGCCTTGGACTGAGGCGCTTGGTATACATACCTCAGCAGCATCTGACAGGCTTTGCAAGAGGTGGTCTCCTCAAAGGAGTACATGTGGAACTCATGTCCATTTGCTGTGGCATTTTCAGGGTAGATATTAGAGCTATGGGATGGAGGGAAAAAACAGCAGTCATCAAGCTAAAAGAATAGTGCATTGAAAGAAGGGCACTTGTGCTTGCCTAGGAATTTGTTGTGTAAAAGACATTACTGAAGCCATGGCCATGAATTAATTGTTTGGATCCCTTCTCTTAAATTTACTGTTGCTGATTTTGTTATTTGGCTTCTTCCAATAGAAGCTTTCCCCCCACACCTCCAAATTTGTTTTCAATTCACAGTATAACCGAGACTCCTATTAATTTTTTCCACATTCTTTTTTGAGCAACCAAATACAAGGTATGCTTGCTTATGGGAAACTAAGGAAACATGGAAGAAGATTCTTGATAGGACTTTCCTTGTCATAACATTAGAGAAGTCAGTCCTCTCTCTTAGTTCCTGAACTATTTAACTTTTAAGGTTTTTGCTTTTGTTTGTTTGCTCAAAAGAACCTGAGGTAGTAACTGAAATGATGGATTCAGAATATTCTTTACTCCTGTTACAATTGTTTGAATTTTGTTGATCTGGACACCAGTCTGGAGGGCACTACCTTGTGGGAAGCTAATTCAAAGAGAGAGGAGAAGAAACAAGAGACACCCCACTCCACATATTTCAGGGAGACTGATATTTCCACAATATTCAAACCCCACCCCAATCTTTGGGTGAGGGGTTCATCCTAGTCCCTTGAAGCCATGGATCTGACATACATAGACTGCCTCCCAACACAGAGGAGGCTTGGAACAACTACAAGCAGAACAAGCATAGAAAAGACCTACAGAGCCATTTCAAATTGTTCCATCCACTTCTTTTTCAGCTCCCGTGTCTTGAAGTACAGTTCATAGCCAGAGAGACCACTAAGCTCGATGAGAACAAACATGTGAGTCCACTACCAAGAGAAAAAAATGAGGAACAGATGATTAGAATAAAACCATATTGGGCATTTTGGCTGAGAAACTCCTCTTCCCCGCACAGCTTCCTTTGGGAGACAAATGAATTGGAAGAAAAGAGTATAGGACAGCTGCTTGAATTAAAACAAAACCTAATCTAACTCTTGGGCAGAGGAAATGCATTCTCATCCACTTTTCAGCTTTTCCCTACAAAGCACATACCCTGCCATTACCTTCTTGTTGTCCTTCTCCACAGAAGAGTCATCCCGGACCTGGTAGTTTGACAGATCAACAAAAGTCTTCATGTCATATGAATCGCCTTTTCGTTTGCATATGAGGAGGGCTTTATCCAAGAGGAAAGCATACCTGCAAGAGATTCAACTTGAGAACATCCAGGAAAGCTGAGATATAGAAAGCATACAGTTCACAGAAGTGCTTAGCAGTGAAACAGACTAGAATCACAAGCTCTACAGAATGAGATATCATGATACCAAAAGTCACCAACTATCAAGATTTGCCTAAGGCACTTGATAAGGTTCTTGGATGCTTTGAGAGACACACGCATACTAAAGATCTGAAAGCCTGAAAATGTCTTCTTGATCAAATCTTCCAACATTCCCTGGAAAATAAAGAAAAAGCGGGGGGGGGGGGACTTTTCCCTTCATTTTTCCTGATTTCCCCCCCTCCCCAGTTTTCTATTTTTTCCCAAGTCCTCACACCTCTGTTTATAACACCCATAGCTGCAGTTTCTGTTATGCACATGAGGGCAGCCTCTGGTCCTGCTGCATGTCTGACTGAGCCCACCACACTAGCATGCAACACGGCACTGAAAAGGCTAAATGAGTCAGACTGCTGCAGTTATGGATCAAAGCAGATGTACATCTCAGGGCACAGGTAGCCCACATGTGCACAGTGAGAACAGCTGTAGAGAGAGAAACTACATAGAATTAGGAAGTTCATGGGCAGGCCAGGAAAACAGCAGCCTGCAGCTAATTTTATGGACAGACTCAAAGATATATTCATGGACTGCTATCAAGTTGAAGTTTCACTGACAAAGCTTGCATTAATTGATGTCAAACTACTACTATATATCTCAATCTCAGCAAGACTGAAAGAGCAAACAAGCAAGAATACATTTTAAACTTACTTTGTTCATTAGCTGCTTTGAATGACTTTTAATGTAAAATGGAACATAACATTTTGGAAGAGCACTGAATCTGTATTAAAGAATATAACTGAATAAAGAATGTGTTCTGTACAATGTTAATAAACACATATATACCTTCTCAGTCCCACATCAGACATGCAGTAATTGTGCATTTCTTGTCCCTGAATTTTTTTTTTTACTGAAAGCAGCCTCAAGAGGAAGTGGGGAGGCAGAACTGCATAACTCTACGGCATTTTTCACTCAGAAATTTCTTTCCTGTCTGCCTTTTTACCCAAGTGGAAAATACTGGCACCACATTGGAAAAAAATGGCTGGAGGGGAAAGGATTGAATTAGCCTAGCAGTTATAATTGGCAAGACTGCTTTTGGTTTAGCTGGTTCACTCTGGCTTTTCCAATACTAATTTCTATTGCTACAAATTTTCATGGCTTCACCTGTCCATTTTGGAACGCCTCTCCCCAGTGATGATCTTGAGTTCCCCATCAATTTTCGGTCTTCCAAAGTGGGCTAAGGATTGCGTCTAGGGAAAAAGAAAACCATGCTCTTATAAGGTAGAAAGGGAGGCAGAGAGCTTCTTTGGAGACAGGAGTAGGAACTTGGCACAAGGAGCAACTGGGTCAAAAGGATGATCAGCATCAATAAGAAGCAAAAACAGGAAGTTATTGTCATTCCATTGCATTTATATCCTGCCTTTTTTCCTCTTGTGAGGGGCACCAGGCAGCTTCTAAGGTTCTCCACCACTCCATTTTGATCCTTACAACACCCCTGTCAGGTAGGTTAGGCTGAGAATGAGTGAGTTTCATGGCTAAGGAAGGACTAGAACTCAGATCCTCTATGTCCCTAGTCCAGGGGTCGGCAACCCGCGGCTCCAGAGCCGCACATGGCTCTTGAACCCCTCTGCTGTGGCTCCGTCACTCAAAACACACGCTGGCATAGCCACTGATCTGCTCCAAGCTCCACTCAGGAACACAGCCTAGCTAGTTAAGTAAATCAGCTAGTCTAGTTAAGTAAATTGCTACATTCCCCTGCTAAACAAGCTTCCTGCAGGCTCTCAAGTTACACTTGACTGTTTATCTGCTGATCAGTCACTAAACACACCTATATCTCCGGCACAGCCTCTCAATCTGATTTACTGAGCTCCACCCCTTCCCCCCCACCCCCAGCCAACCATGGATACATCGAAAAGAAAAGTTTCTGAAGAAAACCAAATGTTTAATGGTATGTGGGTAGATTCATTTGCTTTTACTGCTGACGAACTTATGGGGTTTGCTGTTTAATGCATGCAGTCCTTTAGCACTGACTTTGACTCTTCAGGAAGCTGTTCTCCTGTTCAAAATATATGAAAGGAGTCCTACTAGTTTATAATGTAAGATTAAAAATAACAGTTTTTAATGACTGAACAAGAGCTGCAGTGTTATCTTCATTTTAGATGTCAAAAGGGTTTTGCGACTCCCGGTGTTTTCTTTTGTGTGGGAAACGGGTCCAAATGGTTCTTTGAGTGTTAAAGGTTGCTGACCCTGTCCTAGTCTAACACTCTAACCACCACACTACACTGGCTCTCAATTTATCAGAGCAGATGAAATTAGTGAGCTATCAAGGTCTGAAACAAAGTTTAAGAGAGACCCTGGGCTGATACAGAAAAGTAGTAGAGGGATGCAAAGGGGAGTAGAGTCCCAAAGGCAGAGAAGCAGTGGAACATGAGTAAAAGAAAGGTGCTAGAGCTGGCAGAATGTGAAAAGAAAAGCTGCTGCCAACATGACCTTGTTTGGAAGCTGGCAAGGCATCAACAGAATTGGTGGTTGGAGAAGCGGAGGAGGGAACCAGCTGATGGGTTTTGGAAACATTTCCAGGGATGCTGCTGGCTTTTCTCCCATTTCAGTATCATTTTAGGATTTCCAAGGGATGTGCACATGTAGGATGTGGTGGGCAGTGTTCTGCCAGGGTAGCTGTGGTGTCTCTCTGCCCTACCTTCCAGCATTTTTGAGGCCTCGTGGAGAACCGGTGGAGGGTGGCGTCAGTGGTCCCAATTTTCAAAAAGGGTAGTAGAAGGGACATGGGGAATTACAGACCAGTTAGTCTTACGTCCATGGTAGGAGAAACAATGGAAAGTATAATAATAGCGAGAGATCTAGTGATGCTAGATAGGGAAGGTAGGCTGACGGCCACACAACACGGCTTCCGCAATAACAGGTCCTGCCAGACAAACCTTGTGGAATGCTATGACAAGGTTTCGAGATGGCTAGAGGGAGGGGATGCAGTGGATGTGGTTTACCTGGATTTCAGCAAGGCCTTTGACAAAGTGCCCCATGATACCCTGGTTGAGAAATTGAGGAGTTTTGGGATAGATCAGGGGTGAGCAACCTTTAACACTCAAAGAGCCATTTGGACCTGTTTCCCACACAAAAGAAAACACCAGGAGCCGCAAAACCCTTTTGACATCTAAAATGAAGATAACACTGCATATATCATTTTTTACCTTAATGCTATGTATATCTTCATTTTGGATTTAGCTGCAGCTCTTGTTCAGTCACTAAAAACTGTTATTTTTAATCTTACATTATAAACTAGTAGGACTCCTTTCATATATTTTGAATAGGAGAACAGCTTCCTGAAGAGTCAAAGTCAGTGCTAAAGGACTGCATGCATTAAACAGCAAACCCCATAAGTTCATCAGCAGTAAAAGCAAATGAATCTACCCACATACCATTAAACTTTGGTTTTCTTCAGAAACTTTTCTTTTCTTTGATTTATTCATGGTTGGCCTACTGGGGGAAGTCGCAGATATAGGTGTGTTCAGTGACTGATTAGCAGATAAACAGTCAAGTGATGTGAATTGTGACAGGTCCCAAGCACAGCTTTTATCATTCAGAGGAAGGAGATTACATTTGGAAAAAAAGAATCTTTTCAGCAGCTGTTTTGTGTAACGTGAGAGCCTGCAGGAAGCTTGCTCCACTCTTTCCCTGCACAATAGCAGAGGAATGTAACAATTTACTTAACCAGCTAGCAGAGCCTTCCTGACTGGATGCCTCACCATCATCTATTTCAGCGGCTGTGCCGGCACATGTTTTGAGCGATGGAGCTGCAGCAGGGGGATTCAAGAGCCACGTGCGGCTCCAGAGCCACGGGTTGCCGACCACAGGATAAACCAATGCAATGTCCAATGGATTAGGGCATAGTTGACTGACCAAAAGCATTAGTGGGGAATCATTGGGATGGTGGCCAGTGACAGGCGGGGTACCCCAGGGTTCTGTCCTGGGGCCAATCTTGTTTAATCTTTTCATCAATGACATGGAAGAAGGGGTGAACAGTCTGCTGATCAAATTCGCAGATACTAAAACTGGGGCAGTGGCCACAACTGGGGAGCCTGTACTCCAGATCCAGAAGGATCTGGACAGACGATGGAAGTGGGCAGGAGACAACAGGATGCCGTTCAATGTGGGTAAGTGCAAGGTCCTGCACTTGGGGCATAGGAATGGGTGTCATAAGTACAGGTTAGGGGACAAGTGGCTGGAGAGCAGCACTTGTGAAAGGGACCTCAGGGTGCTGGTTGACTGCAGGCTAAACATGAATCAGCAGTGTGATGCGGTGGCAAGAGGGCGAATGCCACCCTTGGTTGCATAGCCAGAAGCGTGGCTTCTAGGTCAAGAGAGGTATTACTACCACTCTACACGACTCTGGTGCGCCTGCAACTGGAGTATTGTGCTCAGTTTTGGGGTCCTCATTACAGAATGGGTATAGCCAGGTTGGAGTCAGTGCAGCATAGGGCCACAAGGTTGGTGGCCGGTTTTCAGAGAAAGCTGTATGAGGCAAGATTGAGGGAACTGGGTCTCTTCAGCCTGGAGAAGAGGAGACTCAGAGGGGATCTGTTGGCGACATACAGGTATGTGAGGGGATGTCACATGGAGATGGGTAGAGACCTGTTCTCCCCTGCAGAGGAAGGCAGAACGCGCTTCAACGGAGCAAAGCTCAGGGAACCAAGGTTCAATTTGGATGCCAGGGAGTACTTCCTGACAGTTAGGACCCTGAGGGTATGGAATGGGCTTCCATGGGAGGTGGTTGAGGCCCCATCAGTGAGGGTGTTCAAGGATAGGCTGGACATGCACATGGTGGGCATGTCGTGAGCGGAGCTGGCTGGAGCTGGGGGTCTGACTAGATGGCCTGGGAGGCCCCTTCTGACTCGCTCTGTTTCTATAATTGGTAGATAGGACAGCTCTCTAATTATATTAGAAATGTTCAGTCCACCAAATCCAATCAAAATCCTTTGCAGTAACACTCACCAGATTCTCTATGCAGAGTTGGAAATTTGTGATTTGTTTCAGTGTTTCATTGTCCCTCTTGACCTCATTCACACACTGAGCCAGATCCTAAACCAGAAACACTTAATATGAGCTATATTCACTAAGACAAGACCCAGAAACTGTTGCAGTAGTAACCAAAAAGCAAAGAGATAAGCTTAAACATCTTGAGAATTTAAAAACAACACCACTGAGGCTCAAATATAGGTCCTCAAAGGTTGGCTGGCTAAGGAACTCCATCAACAACCTGAACAAAGTGCTAACACTACATTTTTCTTTGCACTTGCTGACAAATGGCTAAGGAAACCAGATGTTTCCAAACTTCTGCTCAGAAGAGCCTGTAGAGCATGGGTCCTCAAACCATGGCCCACAGGCCAGATGTGGCCCGCCATGCCCATTTATCCGGCCTGCCGCAGAGGTTTGGACTCCCCTGAGCCCGCCGCCCACCTCCCATGTGCGCATGCGCGCTCGCCGCCACCTCGCCACATGGGTGGGCAGGGAGGCAGTCGCTCGCTTGCTCGGAGCTGGTTTTGGACTCGCTGGGAGATCTCCGAGCAAGTGAGCCACCGCCCCGCGCGCCCACTGCCACCTCACTGGCCCGCACCCCCACCTCACCAGCTCACGCCGGTTGCCACTGCCTTTCAACTGGCCCCCTATTGAAAAAGTCTGAGGACGCCTGCTGTAGAGAATGCATTGTGTTAGCTGCTCTCTTGCTCTCCTGTGGGTGATGCAGTCCTGTGGAGAGCAAGTGTTCTTCTAGACCCATTCCAAGGCTGCAGTATGAACAGCAGCACTTCTTTTCCGTATGGGGAGATGCACAGAGCTGAAAGAAAACCAGCAGTGTGGCCTTGCCCAGTTTTTCCTCCCTTGTCAAACTGAAAGAGAATATCCTGTGCAAGTCATAAAGTACCCTTACTAAATGTAAATACTCAATTTTTCTCTGAAATCTTCCAAGGAACATTAGCCCTGGACAGCTTGTTTAAAAATGAAACAAGATGGAAAAATGGGAGTGTTCCATATTTAAGGATACTTAAGGATTTAAGAAAGAGATCTTGGAATGTGATAGCTTGATGAAATGCCAATCCAGTGTGTGGATGTAATGAAAAAGGCATAATTAGGAAAGGAATCAAAATAAACTATTAACATCATACTATCCTTTTCATAAATGTGTACAAATCTATGGCATCAACTTCCTTAGAATACTGTGTATAGTTCTGGTCTCTGCACCTTAAAAAGGCTATTTACATTTGACAAAAGTGTTGAAAGGCCAATATGATTAAAGAACTGTAGCAATTCACCTGTTAAAAAAGTTAAAAAAAAAAAGAGTTTGGATAGCTTATGAAAAGGAGACTAAGGATGTACTTGTCTTCATATGGAAAACAGTATATTTTCTGAGCAGGTTTTTCAATTTAATAAAATGTACACATTTCAGCATTACATTTCATAAGTGTATTAGTGGTCAGTTAGTTTGAAAACAACCATGTTAGTTAGTATAACAACTAGGTTTACCGCATTCATGTTCGGGGGTGATTTAATAAAACCTAAAAACTGCAAAAAGTACAAACTCAAGTATCTTTCCCACAGGGCACCTGTAAGACTTCTATACTAATATGGATAGGGTTTGACAATTCAGCCACAAAGCTAGGTGTGTGCAACAAAGACAACCCATCAAGTGCTACAGGAGCCAATCCTCTTTCAAGAAGAGGGGAAGAACAGAAATGTCTGGTGTAGCTGTGAGAGCTAAATCGAACCCCTGTGTTCAGAGGCAGTACATCTAAAAATACCTGATCATGTGGGATAACAGTGGTTAATTTATGGTAAGTTAAACATGAGGTACTGCTAAGAAAAGAAAAGCTTGCTCTGAGAATGATTGCTACCTGAAAAAAACAGCAACTTGGGAATTCTAACTTTATTTAACTTGCACTCCATCCTCCCAATCTGCAATTGGGACTGAAAGACCCAGAAGAAGTGTGTGTGCATGGAGCGCAAGTTGTAACAAGTAAGCACAATTCGTGACATTGCACAACAGCATCACCAAGCATGGGCCACATCAACCTTAGTTTCTGATTGCCTGGCTTTGAGGACTTTGGACCAACAGAAGTTGGCCTTAACTCTTTTCTTTTAAAATGGTAGGATTTTTTATGACTGAATTAAATTAGATTTTTGATGACTGAATTAAACCATTAACCATTAAATTAATGGTTCCCAAGCTTGAATGCAGCTGTTGTTGAACTACAGAACTCCCACTTCCCTTGACCACTGGCCATACTGGCTAAGGATGATGGGAGCTGCAGTGGGAACCCAGGCTTGGGAACTCTTACTTTGCATGTAAAAAGTTCCAGGTTTAATCCCTGGTATTTGAGGAACATCTCAGGCACCAAGGCTGAAAAGTTTCTCTCCTGGGCACCATCTCTTTATTCAGATTGTGGCCAGCAGAACCTCTAACCTGAGCCTGCCTCTCCCCACTGACAATCATGCAAGCAGCTGTTCACAGACATCCAAGGCTGCTCCAGCTCAGGAAGGCAGATTTCAGGCATGGGCAAATCCACCATTCCCTGCCCTCTATCAATTGCCCAATGTTTCCCAGCTTTTCTGCAGTTACTTTTCCTATCCTAAAAGAGTAAAATTCCTTTACTAAAGCTTAGTTACTGGCTGGAGGAGCTTTAAGATTCATAGATTCATATAGTAGTAGGGTGAGAAGGAATGTAGAAGGCCATCAGGACCAACCCCCTGCCAGTGCTGGTACTTTTTAGTATTTTGGTCTTGCTCCTTTTGCTTTTGGTGTGCCCACTTTTGCATCCAGCCCCACACACTACTGGAACATGGAGCCCTGCCACCAAAGCTTTTCCAGAATGAAATGTGACCCTTGGGCTTAAAGAGGTTCACCACCCCAGCCTATCTATATCTTCCCCTTTGTACAGGCCCCAGAAGTTCTAAGGCTGCAAATGTTCTTTTAAGAGCGTTAGGTCAGGCTGCTGACCCAAGTGCAGTTTCTCACCCGCATGGCATCCAGGGCTTGCCTCAGGTTCTCCTTTTCAGTTGGCTCCACTGTATATTTGATCAGCTCCTGGAGGGAGGGAGAGAGCAGAAAGAACTTAGCAAACTTCTGCATTCCGAGAATAAAACAGCTAGGGCATTCTTTGCTGTGTGATGAAATTCATGAGTCAGCATTTGCCCTAACAGCTCAATACTCTCATTTGGGGTTTTTGCTTGAATATTTGCTGAGTTCTGTACAGAATTTCAGTGACACCAGCACAAAGAGGTGGAGGCATTTCGGAAGCCTAGGAGGAAGAAGCCCCAGAGATGGGGAAGGCTTGGCTAAGCAAAACCTAGGGTTCTTGGCTCCCAGCTTCTTCTATGCCTGCTTTCACTCACTGTTGCTTACATAGTCTCCTGATCTGGGAAGAGAAATAGGCTCGGTATCCTAGGAATTTCTCCAGCACAGACTTGGTTAAATGAATGGGCACTGCACAAAAGAGGATTTTGCCACATGTTTTCAGAGCAACGTTCTCCTGTTCCTTTCCTTCCCCCTTCTGGCACAACGTTATTGGATAAATGGTTGTTACCTGCAGGAGCAGATGGTATTTCAGCACCCGCTGCATGGGTACCATGAGGAGGTCACGCAGGCTGAAGCGTCCATTATTGGCTCGTTGGGAACATTCCTGTAATTGGAGTAGAATTGGGGAAGTAAAAATTAATGTGGTTGCCAGCAAGGCTTCAGTGTGGCGACTAATTCCTCTCCAGCAAAATAAAAGACCAAGGTGGCAATTACTCATCTATTTAGATGGGAAAGTACCCTAAAACTCCCAGCAATGCTAGGCCTTAAGTTACTTAGTGTGCATAGAATTGAACCCTAAGTAACTGAAGGCCAAACCATACATTTTTCAGCAGATCCAGTTTCCTGAATCTTTCAGCCTGGGGGCTTTTGATTAGCAGTGATGCATCATTTCCCTCACCACCTCAGGCTTCCCTGTTCCCTGGGCTGAGCTGCAATCTTTATAACAGTTGTGGGGTCAGAGGATGGCTATTCCTTGCAATGATACATTGCTATGAGTTATTGCTGTCAGAATGCAAAGTTTTGGGGGGGTGATTTGGTATTGAATGAGCACTTAAGATAGCTTTTTAAAAGATCTGCTCCTGGTAGAGAGGGAGAAAGCTAAAACTGGCTTGCTGATACAGATCAACACAGCTACCTGCATTTTTGCATTCTCCTTGGGGGTATGGCCACCAAGAATGCATGATGGGTGTCTACATTTCAAAATGTACCACCGCTTCCAGATGTTTTGGACCATGACTCTCCTCATTCCCAGCCACAATGGAGGGCATCACACTGAAGGAGAGTTGTGTGTGTATAAAGGGGAAACTGGAGGCCAGCAGATTCCTCAAATAGGCAACATATCCATTAAAGCTGCATTTGGTGCCCAGAAGGTGACATGTGCACCCCTAAAAACTACATCCCTGGTCACACTGCTTCCAGCAAGAAAATGTTCTCAGTGTTGGTTCGCATACTCAAAGTGTCAATCCCTAATGCCCTTCATCTGTCTACCTTCCTACAGCAAGGAGAGAGTTTGCCCCACCATCCTGGTCTGTCTACCATTTCTGATCATAGTAATTGATCAGCTTGACAAAGGATTGCCAGACAGCATCCATAAAAGGCCATTAACTTTAGAGATGCCCAACAGACATCAGGAGAACTTTTCAGTCACCTGGACTGTGAATTGCCCTGCATGAATTCTGGTACAGTATCTGAATACTGTATTATAATCTTTGTATTTTACTATCACTGTAAATTTAAATGTGATCCTGTAATTGTAAAATATTTTTGTTTTCAGGCTAATCCTTAGGAGAGTTAGCCCCCCTGAAATAGATATAGGTATATAGGTATAGGTGCATCTGGATAGCAGCACAGTGATATTTTATTATAGCTTCCGTTTTAAGTTGGGATGATTTATGATGCTGCATCTTAATAGAACCACATAATGATTGTATGTGACTTATTCTGAAAAAAAGCTCTGGTTAAGGACATGTAGCTTATAGCGTGACAATACTGAAACTGGCTGATAATAAGAGCTGTCTCCACCTTCATGATACAAAAGTTTAGCAGCTAGCCAATGTATGGTGGAGCCCAGCACATGAATGACAAAAAACAGCGGCTCTCACCTCCAGTTTCATGCGCACATCCACACTTGTATTGGCTACCTGATCTAGGTATTTAGTAGCTGCTTCTACCTGGCTGCAGTATCGACCATACAGCAAGAATCTGCAAGTGAAGAGTAAAAAAACCTGAAGGTGAATGGAAACTCAACAAGTTATAGAAATGACCAAGCAGATAAACTCCTGGGTTTGAACTGTGATGACCAATGGAATTAGGACCAAAGATGGAACTAGACTGCATATGACATGCACTGTTGTGGGAAAGGTGTACTATCTATCTTGGTTAGAGAATCCAGGAAATAATTTTAAATCAAATTTTATAAATAATTTCCATACCAGGCCTTTCCCTGGAATATGTGAAGTAATTAGAGTATGATGAGAATGGGCAGAGTGCATTTTCCTTAACATTGGACAATTCTAAGTAGCACCCACGTATTGGGATTGGAGCAATGGCCTCTAGAGTGGGCAGAGATTGTGCCATCCCTGCTGTACTAAACCCCTGCTTGAACTAAGACACAGGGAATCTGGAATCCTGCCAGGGACATGCTCCAGGGCTTAAGTACTGATGGTCAGCACATGGTGTTGCGGTGCCACACGTATCCTTCACGGAGTATCAGCCACCACAGTTGGTTAAACAGTTTTACTGCATTTCATACATTACAGTGAGCATTATTTTATTTATTTAAATCATTTGTATGCCACAAAACAGATGTGGAAAGTGTGTACACTGTAACAGAAGCACAGCATTGCGTAGAAAATGGTACTGTAGGAAATGGCATCCTCTCCCACCGCTTTTGTGTTTAGATAATGCTGTTAGAGTATCCAGTGGGCTTTGTATACATCATCTTAGCAATGCTTATAACAATCTTGTAAGGTAGGGACTGGGAATAGAGTAGTGATTTTTCTAAACCACAACAATGCAAGGGAACTGGAACACTATAATAATGAGATTCAGATGAGAGCAAATGTTAAGCAGCAGAAAGGCACCTGGAAAAAGCTGCACTCAGGGACCTTGGCCTGCAATGGCTGTTAAAGGGCTAGGTTTGTGGGGATGAAATGACAGCTCTGAACTTTAATCCCAGAGAATCTGCAGCATGCCAAATACGAAAGCATCTGGAAGCCATTCTTCCCAGAACCACCTTATTTTGGGGTGTACATTGGACGTTTAGGAGAGAGACTCACCTCTCTTTGTATCTGATGAACACCTGGTGGAGATTCTGGGAGATGTTAAATGACAATGAATTTTTCAGATCTGCCAGAAAGCACCGATGAACCTTCAACAGTTCCTGATAGAGTAGAAAAATAAAGAATCAGCACAAGAATGAAGCAAGAACCACTTCCATATCCAAGCTGTGTAACTTTCACAGAGATTCTGGAAGGTCAAGTTGTAGGAGACCTAAATGAAAGAGGAATGATTTGGGACTTCCATTTGGGCAAATATTAGAACTACTCAGCTTCCCTAGGAAGCTAAAGACTCCGTTGGGAAAGTTCTACCTTCCATAAGACTGCAGAAATTAGATGTTCCTTGTGGAAGTAATCTTCATCTATTGGTCCATGTGAAAGATAAATTACCTGCTGCACCATGACATGTGGTAGAGCTTACATGGCACCAGGGATCCTACTGCCACCGCGGTGGGAGGCTGATGAGCCCTCCCCTTCCTAGGCTTGGTTTTCTTGGGCATGCACAAGGACACACAGCAGTGCATCCGTGGCCAGCACACTCTCCTGTCACTCATGCCCTTCTGCAGTGCCTCTTCATATAGGCTTCATAGTGGAGAGACAATAATTAGGTCCTCAGAAAGATGCGCACAGAGGAACATGAAGAAGAAGCCATCTCTTCTCTGTCTTCACACATACAAATGCTGGGCAGGACCCACCCATCTAAGTTGGGATTGAGGTCCCTGTAATATAGATTAACTATGTTGGCTGAATTTCTAATATTTGATCAACTCACCCACACCAGCTCCATGTTTCTTAGGCCAAAAGTTATCTAGATCAGTTCCATGTTTCTAAGCTTATTCTAAAGCAGCTTGATAGGATGTATGTTGACTTTCAATGTGGATTCACTGCTGTCTCCCTTTCATTGACACAAGGTTTAAAAGCCTTCATTTTGTATTCTCCTACAAGTGGCTCCTATTCTTGCCTTAGCAAAGGCCGTTAAACTTTACTGGGTATGCTTTCCAACCCAGAGGAGCAGCCCTCTGTCCTCTACATTCCACTAGGATTCTGTGTCTAAGACACAGGAGGTTCTTCTAAACACACTAAGTCATTTTCTGGCTAGTTAGTTGGTTCTACACTGGGCACTTCTGCATGCAGCACAGAACCACCAAAAAAAAAAAGGAAAGAGGGCACAGATTTGCAACTTGTTTGCATGAGCTAAGTTAGAGATATTATTGCAAGTCTAGAAAGAGCAACTATAAATGGACTTCCCTACAGCTCCCTGCAATGGTGAAAACTGTGACCAGGTAACCTCCTTCGGCTTTCCAGGAGTGAACTGTTGATGGACAACAACAACTTCAAGATCCAGCTCTCCATTCATGGAGTTTTTTATCTTCAAATTGGACAACCCTTTACACAGAAGACTGCAGTCTGTAAAATAGGGCACATGGCTAGCCTAGGGGTTCTTCCCTGCTACCTACAGGCCAAGCGCTTGTTTACCAGAAGTTGCTAGCAGCACAAGCAACATTTGGCCAACACCATTTTGGAAACCCTTTGAAATGGCTTGAGAAAAACTAAGAGGTGGAGCCAAGCTGTGTTTGAAAACTGTGCCATGCACTGGAGAGCCTCTACAGAAGTGCCCAACCATTGAAATCCATTATGGTGTCTCTGCCCCATGTCTCCCCTTCAGCTACCAGATAGGGTAGGGTGCAGAGGGTAGACAGGGAGGTGAGCTCCAGGGTCAGGCGCACGTCTTTGGTGATGCTGAGAGACATTTGCCAGCCACATTTTGGCATTCTGGAGGATATGTTAATTCTGTCCTAATTCAGTGTTAATTCTGAAACACGCCTGCAAGCTGAAACAGCCCCACTGCACACCTTCACAGCAGCCAGTGCTGAGTGCCATAGAAAGAGCAAAATACACCACAGTCCCTGCCTACAGATTATAGTCTAGTAAACATACTACAAAAGGAAAAAGGGATGTAAAGGGCCCCCATATTTGTTTTCCCATACAAGAAAGCAAGCTAATGTTGGTATTAATTTTCATAAACAATACTTAATTAACATTTTTTCAAGGTAGTGGTAACTGATGAAGGGCCTGGGGAGATATAATGGAAAATGCCCACTCCTTGGCCTCGGATGTTCCTGCTATAGGAAAGTTTAAAGACTTTCTTGTGGCTTAAGCCAATGGTGCTTTGCATGTAGGAGACCCCAGGTTCAATCTCTGGCATCTTCAGGACGGGACAGGGTTCAAAGAACCAAGGGGAAAGCTTCCTGTGCCTTTCTGTACATACGAGGGGCTTCAATGTATTCTCGGTATCAGCATGAAGGAAAAGGAATAATAAATTGAAATAATTTTTATTTTTCAATGTAATCCCCCATAACTTCAATACACTTATTACATCTAGAAATTAACTTTTCAATTCCCTGTAAAAAATACCCTTCTTCCTTGTCTAAAAAATGTGCGTTAATTGCCACCTTGAGCTCTTCATCGTTGGAAAATCGCTTTCCACGAAGATCTTTTTTTAAATTTGGGAATAGGTAGTAGTCACTGGGGGCCAGGTCCGGGCTATAGGGTGAGTGGTTTATTTCTTCGAAATCACAGTCTCGCACAGCAGCCTTTGAAACATGTGCCATGTGAATGGGTGCGTTGTCGTGAAGAAGCAACACACCTGCAGTCAGTTTTCATCACCTTTTTTCTTTAATTGCTTCTCTTAAATTACTCAGAGTGGTTGCGTAAGATGATGCGTTTATGGTTTCACCTTTTTTTGTGTACTCGATCAATAAAATTCCCTTTGAGTTTCAAAACACTGTGACCATGATTTTTCCAGCTGATGGAGTGACTTTGAATTTCTTCAGAGGGTCAGCACCATTTTTATGCCACTGCATGGACTCCTGCTTACTTTCAGGGTCATAGTGATGAACCCAAGTTTCATCTTCAGTAACAATCCGGTCGAAAATACTCGATGGATCTTCACCACAGAGCTCTAAAAACTCCCTATAGCACTCAACTTGCACTTGTTTCTTACGTGCCATGAGCATTCGCGGCACCCATCTTGCACAGACCTTTGAAAGGTTAAGATGGTCATGAAAAATAGTAAATATTGCACCAACGGATAGGTTTGTCATCTCTGCTAACATTCTGATTTTTATTCGGGCATCTTCCAATACAAGTTTCATCTTCCAATACAATTGATTTTTCACATTTTCTTTCATAGCGGCAGTAACTGGCCCGCCTGAGTGAGGGTCATCTTCAGTGCTTTCTCTGCACCTTTTAAATTCACTTGACCACTTTTGAACAGTAGATAATGAAGGTGTAGAGTCCTGGTAAATGGCCATCATCTCTTCATGAATGATTTTTTAACATTTTCCTTGTCTTGTAAGGAACTTAATCACAGCGCAGTGCTTGATTTTCTTCAACATTGTCGCATCAGTCATCATGGTCATCTTTCACTGAGGATTACTAGGGAACTAATGATCACACTTATTTGAAATTTTGCATGTATACCCTCAGATAGTGTCATTAGCTAATGAAATAATTAAATTACCCACATCAATAGCAAATCAACCCGATACTGAGAATACATTGAACGGCCCTCATACATCAATTAGGTTTAAACGTTTGGGAGAGAGGAACAGAATGTGCACACAATAGACCGAAGTGGGAAAATGGCGTGCCTCTAGGTCCCTGTGCCACCCTAAGCCTGAAGCCAAGCCTGTGTCTTCCTACAAAATAAACTAGAACCAAGCTGAAGGATAGCTAGTTTTCCACCTCATTCAGCAAAGGAAGAGAAAACTCCATGAGCTGGGAAGGATAATGAATCCACAGGCTACTTTGACTGGGTTACCCAGCAGCTGTCCTCTGGGTCCTGACACTCTGAAGACTGAGAAGCAGCAAAATTCACACCAGAGCAGAAGGTTCGACCTTGCAGCTGAGTAATTCTGACAGTGCAAATCAGAGCGGAAGGCAATGACACAAACATGCTCGTACTTATGTGTGAAAGGTTGCAGAGGACACAAGAGGAAGGAAGTCTAGACCACCAGTGAAGCAGAACATGGAGCTGGGCAGGTTTAAAAAAAAAACTACAGTTGTTTTTTTATCGTAATCTTTTACATTCTCTGTGAAACACAGTAAACTGCGGTCCTTGTCCCAAGGCTTTCCATTTCCGTTTCCCTTGAAAGTACAGGACCTGGGTGTTTGAACCATTTGGTCTTGCAGGTGTCCAGCAGCCCTCCTCAGAGGGCCTTTCATGGATGCCCCTGCCCTGTGCAATCTGGTGAGGGGTGACTGCTGAAAGGGCCATCTGAGTGGTGGTCTCCTCTCCATGGTCTGCTCTTCCCAGGGAGCTTCATCAATGCGTGATTTTCATGTCCCGTCTGTGCTGGGCAAAGACTTCTTGATTTTCCCAGACTTTTGAAAAGATTGGTTTTATTCTGTTTTATTTTGTCTACCATTTTCATGCTGCAGTTTTAATTATGCTGCTGGAATTGATGTTTTACTTTATTGCATTGCTAGTTTTATGCCTTCAGATTTCCCTCAAGCCTGTGTGAATAAGTTGGTATAAAGCCTGTTGGAGAGAGAGCTCTGGGAAGCCAGCTGTATGAAAATTTTCACTGCCCATTGTATGTCACTGGTGAGAGAAATATTCCTGGGAAGAAGATACAGTGGTACCTTGGCTCACAAACACCTCAGTTCATGACCAAATCAGGTCATGAACAAAAATTTCATAAAAATTTTGACTCAGGTCGCGAACTCTGCATTGGGTGGCGACTGCGATAACGGCCATCTCCCCACCCCCCGAGTGGAAAGATGGCTGTGATCATGCCGGGAGTGGGAGATGGCCGAGATCGCGCCCATCTTTCTTGCCCGAGCGCGCCTGTGATTGCACCCATCTTTCCTGCAGGAGCACAACCGCGATCTCAGCCATCTCCCCCCCTCCCCGGTAGCACTATCATGCCCATCTCCCCCTCCCCCCGAGTGTGCCCGTGTTCATGCCCATCTCTCCACCTCAAACATGCTCCCTATCATGCCCGTCTCTCCACCCCCACAGCACGCTGGGATGACGGCCACGTGCAGGGATGATGGGCGCAATCATGGTCGTGCTGGGGGCGTGGGGAGATGATCGTGTGTGTGCTCAGGGTGTGAGGGGAGATGGCCGCAATCCTTGTTGTTCTTTGTCACTTTGCTTCACATTTTTCTGATGAAAAATAGTTACAGAACAGATTAACCTTATTTACATTAAACCTTATGGGGAAATTTAACTTGGCTCACGACCAATTTGGGTCACAACCAGAGTCCTGGAACGGATTAAGTTTGTGAGCCAAGGTACCACTGTATATGAGGAGACAGACAATAATGTATATATTTGGAGAGGGGAAGAGATGCAAGTTCTTTCTTACTATCTGTTTAAGCTGCCCAATTTATGACCAATCTGCATTAATGACAGTGTGTGCAAAATGTACACTTTTGCACACTCAACATTTCCATTATGCTTGAGGGAAAGCTCTTGCTATTGCTACCACTAAAGCTAAATATGAATGTATATCAGAATACACACACACACAAAATGTGAATCCCTTTAGTATCTGGGTTGGCTAATTTTTATCTTCTCACTTTATTGCTTATCCAGCTTTCAGTGGTTTTGCCATTCATGAAATTTAATTATATTGTTCCCATACCTCAATCTATTTTCCCCCTTTTGATTTTTAAACAGAACAGAACCTAACATAAATACAAACAGTTGAGATACAGTATATATCAAAATATATCAATAATATTAACCTCTACAACCCAACTGTTAACTAAAAAGAACACAATACAACAACAACAAACCCCATTGTGCACCCACTCCCCAGGAGACCAGATTATATCTCCATTTTACTTCATATAATATACAATTAACAATATATACTATACTTTAATTATACCCATATTCCCTCCAAAAATTCATATATTCTTGATTAGGCTTACAGCCTTTCCCTTCCATCAGTACTGCTTTTACAAAATCTTCCCATATTTCATTATATTTATTTACTTTTATTACCCCCTTTTTAATTTTTCTGTTGTCAATTTATCATTAACAATCATATTACATATTTCATTATATCATTCATTCCTTTGTATAACCCAGTTCTGGTTCAAATATTACTTATATTTCATTACAATTTTCCATTACTTACCTAGCTGTCATTATCAGATTTAGGATCAATTCTTTCTTAACTTCATTTATATCTTGTTTTTCAATCAGCAGCAATAACACAATTCTTGGTGACATTTCTAGATTTATATCTAGAATTTCTCTAGATTAAACACCATAATCCATGTCCTTTGTATATTATCACAATCCCACCACATATGTTTATAACTTCCAATCTCTTTTCCACATCTCCAACAAATATTAGAATATTTATCATTAATTTGGTTTAACTTAACTGGCGTTAAATACCATCTCCATATCACTTTAATCCATGTTCTTTAATTCTAACCGACATATTCTTATATACTCTACCATTCCAAATATTCTTCCAGACCTCATCTTTTATTTCACCAACATCCATTTCCCAGATTGATTTCAAACTTTTTGTCTGTTCCCCTAATTCTATTAATATTTTATACATTTTGGCAATTCTTTACCTGTATATTCTTCCTAAATCTCACATTCTTTCACTTTAAAAATGCACACACAAAAGCATACTTTTCTTGCTTGAAGAATGTCAACCATGAAACATTTGCAATCAAGCATGAAAGCAGGTTGAACTGAGCTCTGATGTGAGGTGTGAGGAAACTTGAGGAGGTCTAGCATCAAGGCTTCCCTCATCCCCATCTACTCCTGAGCCCTGCAGTGCTGTTGCTCACTCTACACTAGAGATACATGGATTATGTTATATCTGTTCCATCTTTGTTTCATGAATTGGCAGGTGCCATTCATTCCATCTTCTGCTCAATGGAACCGAATACTTCTGGGAATAATAGGATTTTGTTCCACTTGTGCTAAAGCACACTTGCACTATGTAAATTCCCCCACACTATGGTTACAAAACCATATGTGGCATGTGGTCCACATGCCTTGGGAAAAGCTGGTCCAATGAGGGATAGAAACCTAAACTCATTTGAATCCATTGCAGAATTCTCAAATATCACCATCTCAAACTAGAGGCAAATATTCCAAGTCTTTGAGGTTAATATTCGGAGACCGAGGATTCTAAACTTTGGTAATGTCACTACTGAAAGCCAATGTTTTGTTATGCCCTAAATCAACTCAATTGTTTACAGTATCAACTACACTAGACTAGCTCAATTTACCTCTTTTGACAATGGCCAAAGGAATGAGTAGATTTAGAACTTCAGATTTAGAACTTTTAGCAGACTGCTAAAAAACAATGCAGCCAAAAGGATAGAAATGTCTTACCTCAATGTTGATAAAAATATTTTCCAGGTCCTGAGGCCGTATGAACTGCTGCAGTGGTTTAAAAAAATGCTGGAAAGATCACACGAAGGTTGAAATGATTCAGTAATCAGAACAACAAAAAGGGCAAGATGCATAAACTCCGTACACATGATTTATTCACTGTATTGTGCAGCGCAGCATCAAACTGTTGTGCTGAGATGAAGGAAAAAGAGGATCTAGACCTCAGCTTGCTAGGCGAGCCATATTTTATTTCTCCCTACATCCTTCCCTATTTTCAGTTATGTCTAATGTAAGAACTCTTTTTGTGATCTGATGTTATCACCTGGTGGGCTTGCTGGACCCTGCTCCACATCACTGCCTGCCACTGCCAGAGGGGAGAAAACTCACAGCATGGCAGTCAGACATCACAAGCTGAGTTGCCCAAAGGGGAAGAGCACCATGAACCCTGGGATACTGAACATTTTTCAGTCCAAGAGCTAAATTCAGTTTTGGAGAAGCTCTTTGAGTGGTATCCCAGTGATGGGTGGGACCTAAAGGAAAGGGGTGGGGTCAAAAGAAAAATGGGAGGGGGTGAAATACTTGCATATTTTAGCTTAATACTTTTAATGCCAGTAATTAAGCCTTGGGAGGTGCATTACAAATGTTTAAAGGAGGGGATGCAGATGCATGGACATCAGCAAATGATTGGAGGAAGGGGGAAGGCAGAGGCCTTCTGAAGGCTCCCAGAGGGCTGAACTGGGACTCAAGATCACCTAGGTTTGACCCCCAGGCCTGAGTTTTGACATCCCTGAGGGTTGAGGCTAGTGTTTGTGCCTGCCCTAGTAACTATTTTTGGACTAGTAAGGCTACAATTTCCAAATGCATGGCACAAAGGAATTTGGTTAAGCATCCTGAGCTGGCATGAGGAGTAGGTGGAGGAAAAGGAGGCCATCAGACATAAATGAATACCTGGTGGATAGATTCTAGTGTGCTCGTGTATTTCTCTTCTGTCTGCTGAATCTCTTGAATGCAGCATTTTCTCTTGTCCAGTTCAGTCATTCGCTGTTACCAAACATACAACATAGTATAGAACCATGTTATCAAAACAAGGGATTTGGTCCAGTCAAGAAAGCCAGGTTCACATGCATTCAGAAACATCTATTCAGTGGTTCTTCTGGACCTCTCGGCAGCTTTCGATACCATTGACCATGGTATCCTTCTGGATAGGCTTGAGGGATTGGGGGTTGGAGGCACTGCTTTGCAGTGGTTCCGCTCCTATCTCGACGGTCGATTCCAGAAGGTAGTGCTGGGGGACCATGTCTCTACGTCATGGCAGCTATGCCATGGAGTACCACAGGGCTCCATTCTATCCCCTCTGCTATTTAACATCTATATGAAACCGCTGGGAGAGGTCACCAGGAGGTGTGGGCTGCAGAATCATCAATACGCTGATGATACCCAGCTCTACCTCTCGTTTTCCACTAATCCAGGTGAGGCAGTGGCTGTGCTGAACCGGTGCTTGGCCGAGGTAAGGGAATGGATGAGGGCCAATAAACTGAAACTCAACCCAGACAAGACGGAGGTCCTGTTGGTTGGCGGATCGGGTTTCGGAGAGGGTGGATTTGACCTGGTCCTGAATGGTGCAACACTCCCTCTTAGGGATAAGGTCCGCAGCTTAGGAGTACTCCTCGACCCGGAGCTTTCTTTGGAATCTCAGGTGACAGCGGTGGCGAGGAACGCCTTCCTTCAGCTTCGGCTGATTAATCAGCTGCGCCCCTACCTGGAGTACGACTGCCTGGCGACGGTGACACACGCGCTGGTGACTTCCCGCCTAGACTTCTGTAACGCACTTTACATGGGGCTTCCCCTGAAGACGGTCCGAACACTTCAATTGGTGCAAAATAGAGCTGCCAGGTTGCTGACGGGGACGGGGCGTTATGCTCACATGACTCCAGTCCTCCGTCAACTTCACTGGCTTCCCATTGAAGCCCGGGCCCAATTCAAGGTGTTGATTATGACCTATAAAGCCCTAAACGGCTTGGGTCCTGGCTACCTGAACGAGCGCTTACGTCCGTATATGCCCAACCGCCCCTTGAGATCTGCAGGAGAGTCCCTTCTCCGGGAACCCTCCATGAAAGAAATTAGGAGAGTAAGTACTCGGAGGAGGGCTTTCTCTGCGGTGGTGCCCAACCTATGGAATTCACTCCCCAAAGAGGTCCGCCTGGCACCGTCGTTCCTGGTTTTTCGGCGCCAGGTAAAGACCTTTTTATTTAAACATCATTTTAATTGTTAAAACATATGATCTGGCCAGGGCAACTTCTTCTTCCTTCTCTTTTCTCCTCCTATATTTTTATTTACTTATTTTATACTGATAATTTTAATTTTATATTTGTAACTCAGTGTATTTTTTGTATTTTTGTATTTAATGGTAATTTATTATGTTCTATTGTATTTCAATGTATTTTATTGTGTTGTAAGCCGCCCCGAGGTTTCGGCAAGGGGCGGCATAGAAATGTAATAATAATAATAATAATAATAATAATAATAATAATAATAATAATAATAATGTCACCATTTTAACAAAGAAGCATTCCATTTGCTCAGTGGGAATAGCCCTGATGTGCCTAGTTTTTATTTTATTTATGATTTCCTAAAATGCATTAAACTCTGCTTCACAGTGTACAGAGCTGTGGAGAGGTACAAGTTAAAGACAGCAAAATAGTAAAAATCCTAGATCAAAAGTTCTGTATGGTTAAATTAAGGATGGACTTTCTCTGGATCTACTGCTGGCACCAGTGGCTGAAGCACAGCAGCACATCCAGCCCATGGGAAGCACTCAGTAGCCAAGGATCACTCCTCGTCACTTACCGGCATGACACCTGGCTCTGACCTCATCAGGTCCTGGTAGATTTCGTCTCCTTCTGCCTCCTCATTCTCCACACAGTCATACAGGTCATCATCTTCCTCCATGGTGTCACTGGTGAAAAATGAAAGAGAGAAGTGCATGACAAGAAAAGATAGACACAGCCTTACTTGGAGATTGGGTGAAAAGCCTACTAGGATGGGAAAACAGCACAGGGATCTGTAGCAAAGCCAGCTACAGAGGCAGCTGCACTAGGCCATGAAAACCATGGCTACACAAGCAATGGCTTGGACTACTTATGCAAACATGGAGATGGCTTTTTAAACCTCAATATTACTTTGGAAGACTGCATTCTTGTCCCTTGAAAGTGAAACTGATGTGCAGCAAACATGTTCCTCCTACACATAATGGTGACTTTAAAATGGACCTTTATGTCCAAAGGCAAAGACAGCTGGGATGTAGTCTAGGATCTGCTTGTAGCTCTCTGGGTGCTTTGCAATACAATTCTGATGTCACACATTTGCTCAAGGCCCAAGAGCTCTTGCGGGAAACAAAAAACAAAAACCCTGGCAAACCTGGGCATGAACAATTTACCCTCCCTTCCCAGAATGAATGTGCTCCTTACTCAATCTGATCTGATAAGCCACTGTATATATCATCGTCAGCAATGCTGTCCTCTGTAGGGAATGGCCTGTAAAGTAAGAAAGATTGTTTAAGAAGAGACTGTAATGTTTACAAATGAATCAAGTAACTAGGTCAGGCAACATGATAACCATGTCATTGTTTGTTAGCTGAGTTCAGACAGCACAATAACCCATGTTTCAACAACAATCCAAGGCACAATAATCCACACTCAATAACTCATGTTATCTGAACCCAGTCACTGTAATAATAGGACAGGGTGTGGGGAAAAATCCACTGGGTTGACTCAAGACATAGTCTTGCGTCAGAAATACTAAAGTTGATCATGACTAAATCAAGTCGCATGGATTTCAACAGTAACTTAAATGTGACTAAGTCTGGGTCCAAGCCACAGGGAATTGCTTCTCTCAGATGTAGAGCACTCTTGCTTGGCCACTCAATTTTAGGCAATGCTCATCAAGAGCTGCCAGAATCTGTTGGATGGGTTTAGCAGTCACATAAACCAGTCAGTCTTAGAGAAGATCAACCCTGACTGCTGTTTAGAAGGCCACATGCTGAAGATGAAACTCAAATACTTTGGCCACCTAATGAGAAAGAAGAACTCACTGGAGAAGAGCCTAATGCTGGGAACAATAGATGGCAAAAGAAGAAGGGGATGGCAGAGAATGAGGTGGCTAGATGGAGTCACTGAAGCAGTTGGTGTGAGCTTAAGTGGACTCCGGGAGATGGTGGAGGACAGGAAGGCCTGGAGAAATGTTGTCCATGGGGTCGCGATGGGTCGGACGTGACTTCGCAACTAACAACAACAACAAAAAGGCTGCTATATCATCACAAAGAAGACAAAGACTAATAGAGAACAGGGGAATGTACGGCTTTCCAGATATTGTTGGAGTGCAATTTCCACCATCCCTCACAATTAGTTATGCTGGCCAGAGCTGCTGAGAGTTGCAGTCCAAGAATGGGGTGGGGGACATATTCCCCATGCTGGCCTCAGAGGTCAATATTTGGGTGACCTATTGTTCAACTGGCCCCTGTGATCCAACCTTGGAAAGTCAAGTTTGCTATGCAGCCATGAGCAGGCAATAATTGTTATTATCTCCATGCTGCAAAATTTTTCATCTACTTATGTCTGCACATCCAGCTTTAGTTAGCAAGTTACAGAAGCTGTTTGAAAAAATAGCAACCCTAGTCAAAGTCCAGGGTTATGTCTAATGAACTTTTTTTTTTCAAATGGTGCCATAGCCAGTCTCCATGGATCAACCTAGTATGCTCCAGATGTGTTGGACTGCAAGTCCTATAATTCCCAACCAGCTGACCAGGACTTGCAGTCTATCTCCCATATAGCACATCTATAGCACACCAGGTTGGAAAAGATGCTTTCCATGTAACTACAATAGTGAACAACATAGTGGTAACTCTCATGCTTAATCTGAGTCACTGGAAGAAAAGGCAAGAAATAAGGATTTGTGATGGGTAAAAACTGAGATTCTCCCAAAAAGAAACCCAGGAATACAAAACACCCTTTAAAAATAAAGTCCCCACTGTTTCACAGCATGATGAATGGGGAAAGTCTCTGGCACTCATTCTAGAGGTGGTTGGTTTGCTGAAATGAAATCAACAAAGGTCCTATCAATAATAAAACTGAGTTATGGAAAGCACAATCAAGAAGTTTGTGCTTTCTATAATGGTCTCTTGGATGAAGCCAAGCTCACACTCCAAAGAACCAGAACATGTGACTAAGCTGAGGGTGAAGTTCCCTCCACCAGTAGCAACCCCAGCAGTAATACCTTGAACTCTACAGGCTACCTCCAGCCATCTCCAGCATGAAGAACCCAGCCAGCCCATCAGCTGAACTGATCATATAGAAGCCTGGGCACCTCCCATGGCACCTTAGATGCCATGGGAGGTGGATCCCCATTTGCTGGGCAAGAACAAGGGGAAATGCTGGCCTTTCAATAGTATTTGAATGTAAGGACTAGTGTGGAGAACTGAGTGCACCCAAGGACAAGGAGGGACTTAATTTTTTTCCAGTTTAGATACAGCCTCTTTTCAAGGTGCTTGAGAAGTACCACTCATCTGGAAGGCTGCAGCCTTTCACAGTCTGGTGGGAATGTCCAACAATTTTGGGCAGTGGCTATATTGGTTATGGTAGATGGGCAGTAAAGTCCAAAACATCTGGATTGGGGGTACCAGGGGGCATCAGGCTAGGGAAAGTGAAACACAGAAAACAAATACACACAGAGAGAAAAATAGAAACAGAAGGAGAGGGAGAAAGATATGTGCCAAATTAAATGTCTTTTTATAAAAGTTGCATAAATACAACTATCCCATCATTGCCTGATACAAATGCACGCCACCTGCACTTACATGAATCCTTTGTTCTGGGCAACCTGTGTCCATGACAGTATTGATAAGGTTTCTATCACCTGCATGGAAAGAGAGGGATAGTTAAAGGCAGTCAGTGGCATGGAACTTAAACAGTTACTTAAAGTATTCACATGCCACAATTCTTTGCAGAATCTTTGTAGCTTCTGTTAATTTAACTGTTAATTCCATGCAAAGTCAGCCACGTTTAATACAATAAAAACATAACGTCTGATTACCAAAGCAACATACAACCCTTAGAAAGGAGGTAGGAGTGAAAAAATGTTCCATCTTAGATATAGCAGGGTTCAAAGGACATACTCCTTCTAGTTAGGTATTGCCAGTCTCTGATTTCTTTCTTCTAAGGTTATGAAGACCAGACTAACCAAGTTCTGCCACAGAAACAGGGTTTAGAGTGCCTTATTCATCAACCTAGCCCTGCTGAGTGTTGATAAATGTAATCTTGCTGATCGCCTAGTTCAGGAATGGGCAGGCTTCAGGTCTGCAGGATCTACATCTTATTTTATTTTCTATAGTCCTGAGATCCAACAACTGCAGTCAAATTCAAAATAATGGCCTGGTTCACATCACATGAAAGCCCATAATGGTAACCAGCAATGGTAGGATGTTGCCTTATTTTTCATAAACAAGCCACCCCGAGAACCCATAGCTTGTTTTTTGGTTATACTTCTCACACTGGGTTGTTGTGCAGTTCAAACCAGTTCAGACAGAATGATTTTATTATGCGGTGTCAAGAATGGTTACTCAGTAGCTGCTGAGCCCTCACCACTGGCTTTTCACAGTCTTGCCAATGACAGCCCTTCCACTGATGCTGAAACAGTATTGGGAAGGATTGCCACTTAAACACTGAGATCAGTAACTAGAAGACATTGCGAGGAGCTGAGTGTGAACTGTTCTCAGTGTGCAGCACAGGCCACAGACACTTGTTAGGCTTAACTGCTGTGAGAAACTTGTAGGGCCCCTGTGAAGGTATGGGATCACCAGCTACCAGGCACTGTGAGTTCCTCTTCTCATCCTTGAGATAAGGATGTTTATACACTCTTTTGCTGAAGTTAATTGGGATGGCTGGGCCTTCTCTCCCCTCCTTTCCTGTGTCTTCCAGGAAGAGGAGTCAGCCTCTGTATACTGACTCACTTTGAAACAGAGAGAGGAGGAAGTGCATAAAATCCTTGGCATAGGGCTTTCTTCTTTGGCTTTCCACTCAGAACTAGAGGTGTCCAAATAATTAGCGCTCTGAAGGCAACACTTGTCTTATCAAGTGTTGCCTGTGACTAAAGAGATGCCTGCAAGCCTTCCTTTTGCTTGTTTATTTGCATTCATGCTTTTGCGCTATATGTATTCAATAAACTGCCTTTATTGTCAGTTCTGCTTCTTCTTAAGCATTCTTGACTGTAAAACGATGCACCTTGGCTGCACCAGGCCCCTAGAGTTAAAACAACCAGTTTCCTGACTATTTTATGTGTATTTTTGGTGGATCAAAAGTGCACAATTGGGTTCATTAGTTTTTGGTTGTCATTCTTGTGCAAATGCACACTTATAGCTATCCAATTTGAGTGTTGACAAGGTGGTCTGTCAGCTAATTTCGGCAGATTTGTGAAGGATGTGGAGAGGGAGGAGAATAACAGTAAGAGGGAGAAGTGGTCTAGTAGTGCAAGTCAGGAGCACCAAAAATGGGAGGGGAGCCAAATGATTAAGTGTATCCAGGAAGAGGAGATATCTTTTGCTTCTAGGTGCTGAATCGCACCTCTTGGTCCTCCAACATATCCCTGACTCTCCAGCTGCTCAGAAAGCATAGGTATTAAACTCCCCATCCCTTTTTACAGAACCAGTTTGGAACACATACTGCTGTAGTTACTGGGATGTCCTGAAAAGCAAACATGCACACTCTGCTGAAATGTACATAAACGTAATGGCTGGGAAGTAAATGGAGGGGAAATGTGCACATCTGCAATAACTACTCTATTAGCACAAGTCCACAAGTTTTCCCTTCATGTCTTTCCCAGCCATTAAATTTCATAGAAACACAGAATCATAGAATAGTAGAGTTGGAAGGGGCCATGAAGGCCATCGGGTCCAACCCCTTCTGTAGCAGGACACCACGTTACACCATCCCACTCAGATGGCTGACCAGTTTCACCTTGACTGTCTCTAGTGTGGGAGAGCCCACCACCTCTCTAGGCAGCTGGTCCCACTGTTGTATTGCTCTGACAGTGGGGAAGTTTTTCCTGATGTCCATCCTGAATCTGGGTTGTCGCAACTTGAATTGATTATTCTGTGTCCTACACTCTGGAATCAGCAAGAAGAGATCTTGACCTTCCTCTTTGTGACAGCCTTTGAGGGTCTTATAGAGGGACATCATGTCCCCCTCCCCTCAGTCTTCTCTTCTCAAGGCTGAACATACACATTTCTCTCAGTCTCTCCTAATAGGGCAGTGTTTCCAAACCCTGGATCATTTTTGTTGCCCTCCTCTAATTTTTCTGCATCATTCTTAAATATTGGTGCCCAAAACTGGATACAGTATTCCAGAAGACGTCTGACTAATGAGGAGTATAGAGGAACTACTACTACTCGTTATTTGGAAGTAATAGTTCTGTTAATGTATCCCAAAACAGAATTTGCCTTTTTGGTGGCTGCATTGCATTGTTGGCTCATATTTAGTTTATTATCCATAATTACTCTGAGACCATTTTTTTTCAGTTCTGTTGAGCCGTGTATTCCCCATCTTGTTTCTTTTTCCTAGGTGGAGAACTTGGCACTTGTCCTTATTGAATCGCATTCTGTTGCTTTGAGCTCAGTGTTCGAATCTGCATACACTACATTGCGAACAGGGTGATATTGTCCACCCTCCTTTTGCTACACCTTCTATTGATGCTTGCTCCCTTTTCTGGTGCTTTTCAATTGACAACGTGGCAATTGGTCCTTTTCAACTTTAGCTTATAGGCACTCTCTCCTTGTCATTCTGTTACCTATTGTACTTTGCTGCTCCTTCGCTCCCTTTGCTGCTTTCATTGCTCAAGGAAATTGACCAGGCAAGACTATGTATATGGGACAGCTATAAGAAAGCACCTGTTGAAGACTGACAGATGATGATGATGATGATGATGATGATGATGATGATGATGATGTACATAGCTATGCAAATTTCAGGGGCCAGAAAAACAAATACAACCCCAATTGTTCTTTTCTGAGAGGGGGCAACAGGGAGAGCAGCTAATGAAAACAACTAACAATCAGGATGGGGAATGGGAGACAAGATGGATTCTACCACAAAGGGATGAGGAGCAGGCACTCTAGATCCAAAAGGATCTGGACAGACTGTGGAAGTGGGCAGGAGACAACAGGATGGTGTTCAATGCGGATAAGTGCAACCTCTTGCACTTGGGAGACAGGAATAGGTGTCACAGGTTCAGGTGAGGGGACAAGTGACTGGAGAGCAGCACTTGTGAAAGGGACCTCAGGGTACTGGTTGACTGCAGGCTAAACATGCATCAGCAGTGTGATGCGGTGGTCAAGAGGGCAAATGCCACCCTTGGTTGCATAGCCAGAAGTGTGGCTTCTAGATCAAGAAAGGTATTACTACCCCTCTATATGACTCTGGTGCACCCACAACTGGAGTATTGTGCTCAGTTTTGGGCCCCTCATTACTGGAAGGATGTAGCCAGGTTGGAGTCAGTGCAGCGTAGGGCCACAAGGTTGGTGGTTGGTTTGCAGGGGATGCCGTATGAGGCGAGACTGAGGGAACTGGGTCTCTTCAGCCTGGAGAAGAGGAGACTCAGAGGGAATCTGTTGGCGACATACAGGTATGTGAGGGGGTGTCACATGGAGATGGGTAGAGACCTGTTCTCCCCTGCAGAGGAAGGCAGGACGCACTCCAATGGAGCAAAGCTCAGGGAACCAAGGTTCAGTTTGGATGCCAGAAAGTACTTCCTGACAGTTAGGACCCCGAGGGTATGGAATGGGCTTCCACGAGAGGTCGTTGAGGCCCCATCGGTGCAGGTGTTCAAGGATAGGCTGGATGTCCACATGGTGGGCATGTCATGACAGGAGCTGGCTGGAGCTGGGGGTCAGACTAGATGGCCTGGGAGACCCCTTCTGACTCACTCTGTTTCTATGTTTCTATGTTGAGATACATGCCAGAGTCAGCTGGAGGACTGAGGGATAACAACCCGTGGTCAGGTGCCCAGGAACAACCAACACTCAAGGCTTACTTGCATGGTGGCTTAGTGTGACATGTGAATGCACCCTGATGCACTAAGCACTAAGGAACAAGGTATCTTTGAGCATAAGCTCAGCCCCATAATTTGTGAACAGTATCAGAACTAAGCTCACATGTCCTTTCACACAAAGATCCACACATGGTTTTTCACTAAGGTTTTTTTTTCCCAGCACCCTAATTCAGGGAGGAAAGGATTTTTAACTGCTGCTATCATTTCACAATTGGAACTATTTAATACCCCACTTTTCTGCTAAAACTGGTGTTCAAGGCAGCTCACAATAAAATATAGATTAAAACCAGAATCTCAACTCAAGCATCACATAGAAGCAGATCCATTAAAGCATACTTCAAAATAGAAAATAAAAGCAAAAGATATTACTTGTTTAAGTAAAAACCTGCTCAGCAACAGACCAGGTTTCAGGCCAAACCTCTGCCTGAATAAGCCTCTTTGCCTGCTGGAAGAAGGACAACAGCAAGGAGGGGAACTTAGCATCCCTGAGCAGTGTGTTCCAGAGCCTGGGACACCCACTACCATGAAGGCCTGCTCCCACAGCCCTATCAAAACTGCAATGAGAACTACCTGTAGATTCCAATCTGCCTCCTGCCCTACCTTGTTTTAGTTCATTTTCATTCATTTGTTCTTCCTTCCTTCCTTCTCCTTAATTCACAATAGAGAAATAATGTAGAAGGCAGGCTATGATCAAACATTCCAAGTAAGCCATATGTATTACTACGTCAGCTCATTATTTTGCTGACATCTAACCCTGAAAAAATAGGTCTGTGTTGTCATTTTATAAATTTGTCATTCTTTCTAGGAATTAACTG